TCTGGTGTGCTACATTGTCTGAGATAGGGTTCAAGACTACGAGTCACCCTTATGAAATCGGAAGTGTAACCACTACGCTAAGGTTCAAATCTTCGCGATACCTTAGTTTATGCCCGATCTTATGGATCTGTTGATGCTCATAGATAGTTTCAAAACTATTCAAGTGGGGGATTGTTGGGAATGAATAGCTTTGAAAGCTATATTGAATTAATTATCCAGTATTCTTTCTAGATACGGAAATAAGATGGATAATTAATAAAAGGAATATTATGGAGATAATTAGGAATAATTATCTTAATAGATTATATTTTAATTATGGGAGTAATTATCTCCCTAATTCAAATATGACTTATTCCCAAAGAAAGAGGGAATATTCTGGGTTTTCTGCTCCTATAAATAGGAGACGCCCCAGACCCTCTAAACACACCTCAGAGAGCAGAAACACGAGAGAGAGTGAGATTCAAAGAGCTCCGGTTTTCCGCACAAAACCGCTGAGCAAATCAAAAGAGTGGCTGTTTTATCCTGGAGGCGACCGGCTGATAGTCTGCTGTGCGAATTATGAGGCAGTGCCGCGAACGTCTTAAAGAGAGCGACCTAGTCCGCGACTCAGCCAGATCGGTAACCCTAATTTTTCCTGTTCGATTTCTAACAGAACGCACTGCTCATTTCTCAACCGACTGATGTGGTATTTAATTTAGGGTGAATGCATCGCTTTAGCCGCACAGGATCAGCCTTTGTGCCTCCCTGGGTTTCTCTTATCAATAGCATGGCTTCTGATCAGAGATTCATCTTTCTTTTTTTCTCCCAGCAATAAAGATGGAAATCGCATTTTCTTCAAATCTACTCCAATTGGAACATCAATCCTGCATCATCAGTCTGAAACAGGAACCCAGTTCTTCTAAACAGAGTTGTCTTCTGGTTTGCTGCTATTAACCTTTTAGCCACCAATCTTCTCAATTGTTTGCGACTAGCAACAAACAGGGTGGCAATTAGGACACTGCGATGGAGCCTATTTCCCATCCAGATTCTGGTGCAGCCATTTAGGTAATTACCAGTTCCAAATTCTTATCATTTGATCATTATTATAATTAGGGGTGGAAGTTTGGTTTGCGGATTGCGGGTAATCCGCAAACCGCACCAAACCGCATACATTGTGGGTAACAATACCCACAATTTGTGGATAGTGGGTTGAGTGTGGGTAGCAAAATATTGTTTTTTGTGGTTAGTGGTTAACCACTATCCACTTAACCCAACAAACCCACAATAACCACACTAAGTATATTTATTTATTAATATACTTTGTAATATTAATTATGTGAAAAGTAGAATGCTACAAATTAAAGTAGGCTCCAAAATCAAATATATATTTATTTAATAAAACAAAACCAAGCCAATACACCGTGTTTGTATGAGATACTTTTATTAAATAAGCATTGTCCGCCGTGGTATATGTCTATTTTATAACAAAACAAAGCCAATAAATGTGGTTTATAGTTTATTTAACACTTTATTAACTTTCTTTTATGTAGGCTTTTGTTTTTGTGTAAGAGGACGCTAATTCCGCAACTTGGGAGAGAATTCCATTTATTCCTAAAAGTTCGAATAAAAAAGCAAAGGAGTCATGTCGTTGATAAAGATGCAATGTATATTTAGATTAGATCCCCTACAACCCATACTCGGTCAATATGCATTTCCTAAAGAAAGTAAGCGAGTGAAGTGAACAGAGGAGAGAGAGGTTGACTACTTAGGAGATTTTGAATACCAAACCCTCGCTCGTTCAATGTCTTGGGCTTCTTTACTTAGTTTTAACTCAATGAGTTTTTTTTCCTTCACTCGACCGATAGGTTTATCATACACGAATCCAAAGGGTGAAAGAAGGAAATTTTTTGTGGGTATCCACATCCAACCCGCACCAACCCGTAGTGGATAGTGGTTAACCACTACCCACCATGGGGCGGGTTGTGGGTAGCATAATTCTATATTTGTGGGTGTGGTTACCCACAAAATGTGGGGCGGGTAACCACACCCACTCCAATTTCCACCCCTAATTATAACTATGCAATAAGAAAAAAGGAGTTTAACTTAGCATTATGAGGCCAGTCCAATTAAAGAATGACCCTCCAAAAATAGACGTACACCTCTATTGCAGCGTATACACGGTATTCTTTAGTAAAAGGCGAAAGAATAGTTCGCTATGTACTCACTGCAAGGTTGCGTGAAGACTAAATACAAGTTGGAGTTAGATTATATAGCCTAGTGTGCCAGAAAAGGCAAGTGCTCTCATGTTCACCGAGAGCGGATCCCATGACTAGGGGGGGTCCTTAGTCACTTGACTAAGCCCCTCCTAGCCATTAGATCTGGACACTTGAATCCAATGGTTAAAAAGCGGGAAGGGCTATTTAATTAATGACAGGGGTAGTTTGGGTATTATGGAAAATTACGAAGTATACAAACCGGATTTAAAATCAGTACAAACCATACAAACATACGAACAGTACAAACTAGAGCGACAAAACAAACAGATTTACAAACATTACAAACGTATGAACTGTACAAACAATACAAACTAGATCGACAAACAATACAAACCATACAAAAAGAAAAAACAACCGGGTTGACTTTGGAGGCTCCATCCCTATATAGAGGGGCTCCTTCCCAAAGTCAAACCGGGTGTTTTTTAGACATACAAACATGGTGGACAAAAATGACAAACTAGACAAAAAATTCATACAAACTGGAAAAACACCCGGGTTGACTTTGGAGGCTTCATCCCTATATAGAGGGCTCCGTCTCAAAGTCAACCCGGTTATTTATTAGACATACAAACATTATGAACATGGTGGACAAAAATGACAAACTAGACCGACAATCCATACGAACTAGAAAAAACACTCGGGTTGACTTTGGAGGCTCCATCCCTATATACAGGGGTTCCATCCAAAAGTCAACTAGGTTGTTTTTTAGACATAAAAAACTTTACAAACATGGTTGACAAAAATGATAAACATGGTGCACAAAAATAACAAAGTTTACAAACATTACAAAAAAACCAACAAACATTACAAAATAACAAAGCGTACAAACATTACAAAATATGTCAACAAACATCACAAAACTAGCACTGTCCCCGGGAAATTCTTCTCCGTCGTCGATGGTTGCCGGAAAAGTTTTCTGATGAGGACATCAATGGGCCAGTCACACGTGCAAAGGCAAGAACGTTGAAGGAGAAGCTTGCAACGTATTTGGAGAGCTACTTTGGGACCATGGACGTGGAGTTGTTTCGAGGAAAGCCATATATGATGATTCGAGTGGAGGAAGAAGGAGGAAGTGCTGGAGAAAAGGCAGATTGCAAGAAGCCTTAACGGGTTTGCTTAACGGGTCCAGCCTTAACGGGTTCAGGCTTAACGGTTTGGGCTTAACGGGTTTAATGGGCTATTTTCGGGTTTCCTTGTTTTAAAGTCGGTTTATGATTGTTTTTCCATGTTGGAGTCGGATTTGGGTTGTACTTTGCCTATTTAAAGGGCTGAACACGTTGGTTTTGCTTTTAGATGATCATTATTGAATTTTAGAGGCTATTGCCGAGTTCCCTACACGGAATTTGCCCTAATTACTCTGTTGAGAATCTCCAGAGTGCTAGAGCGACTCTTATCAGCTAGGTATTCACCCTGGTTGTGGCGAGCTACCCATATCGATTACCCTTTATTCCAAGTTGAATCTGTCCGATCGATTCATATATCGATTGCCCTTATTCACAGGTGAGTACTGTCCGATCGATTTCCATCCTATCCGGTTCTGTTTGGTTCGAGAAGCTTGACCCTGCGCAACTTTGATTATATCAAGTGGTATCAGAGCTAAGGTTCAAATCAGTGGCGTGTTCTTGAAGTTTTTTTTGAAGATCTTGTGCGTTCTTGTTTGTGTTCTTGGTGGTTTGTGCGAGTTCTTGAAGGTCTTGGCGTGTTCTTGAGCCGCAAGACAGGAGGTTGTTTGTTCTTGGGAGTTGTTGGTGTTTCTTGTGAGGCAAGAAGCAGGTTGTGCGAGTTCTTGTGTTCTTGGAGTTTTATTGCATCGCAAACATGGAGGCAGCACTCGAAGCGATCAGAAATCAATTGGAGAACATTGCTCGTGCTCAAGAAGAGCAAACAGCAAGGCTTGCCGAGCAAGTCACGAGGATGGAGGCTGTCGAGACAAGGCTCCAGCAACCGGTTGTGGTTGATGCAAACCCTAACCCTAGACCTCGACAAGAAGAAAGGGAAAGGGAAAACTGAGCTCCTCCACCCTTGGTTCATGAAGTACAGCGTCATATGCGCCAGCATAGACGCCTGGGAATGCCTCGAGTTGAAAGGAGAGGGCGGCAGCAGCATCATGAAGAGGAGTTTAATGATGAGGAAGAAGAGGGCTTTGAGGAGGATGATGATTTGCGAAACCTCAAGGTCACGATTCCACCTTTTCGCGGTACCACGAACCCTGATGCTTATTTGGATTGGGAGCGAAAGATGGAACTAGTGTTTGATTGTCATAACTACTCCGAGAAGAAGAAAGTGACATTGGCTGCCCTAGAGTTCTTGGATTATGCACTTGTTTAGTGGGATCAGTTGGGAACGAAACGAAGGAGAAACAGGCAGCGTCCTATTGAGACGTGGGATGAGATGAAAGGAATTATGAGGGATCGGTTTGTACCGAGTTCCCATTTGCGAGATATGTATCAAAACCTTCAGCTTCTCCGGCAAGGAACTAAAAGCGTTGAAGATTATCACAAGGAGTTGGAAGTGTTGATGATACGTGCTGATGTGAGAGAGGACCGCGAGGCTACCATAGCTCGTTTTCTATATGGTCTCAATCGAGAGATCAAGAACGTGGTGGAGATACAACCGTTCCTTGAAGATTTGGTGGATATGGCAAGTAAAGTGGAACGACAGCTTCGAAATAGGAGGTTTCAACCCTCCACGAATTCCACACGTTCGAGCCAAGGAGTTGCAACCAACCCTAAGCCGCAACTGCTCATGAAAGAAGCTCTTAGACCCGCGGCAAGGGCTGATGGTGCAAATCCAGTTATGAAGCAAGGTGGATCGTCGGGGGAAATTCGTTGTTTCAAATGCCATGGAAGAGGACACATTGCGAGCCAGTGTGCCAATAAGAAGACCCTGATCTTGCTTGATAATGGCGACTATGTATCGGAGGAAGAGGAAGAGACCACCGATTCTGATGTCGATGAGTCTATGGAAATGGAACCACCTCCAGGCAGTTTGTTTGTAGCACGGAGAGTAATGTCTGCACAGCCTAAGGAGGAGAGTGAACATCGAGAAAATATCTTCCATACGAGATGTGTAGTTGATGGGAAGTTGCTGTCTCTAGTGACTGATGGAGGAAGTTGCACGAACGTTGTGAGCGCGTGTGCGGTGAAGAGGCTAGGGCTGCCTACGCTGAAGCATCCAAAGCCATACACGCTGCAATGGCTTAACGATCACGGATCCATCAAAGTCACAAAGCAGGCACTAATGAAGTTCGAGATTGGAGATTACAAAGATGAGATTTTGTGTGATATAGTGCCTATGCAAGCTGCACATGTGCTTTTTGGCAGGCCATGGCAGTTTGATCGACAAGCACAGCATGATGGAGTGACAAATAAGTACAAGTTGCAACATGGAGGAAAGAAGTTCGTGTTGAAGCCTCTGTCTCCAAGTGAAGTATATCGAGATCAACTCCAAATGCAGCAACGTCGAGAGCAAGAAAAGGCAAGTAATGCCTCGGCCAAGAAAGGAGAAGAGGGAGCTGGAATTGTGGATTCGAAGGCAGTGATGCTAGCACGCAATGGAGATTTGAAGCAAGCTGCCTGTGCACGAGAACCTTTGATTGTGCTCATGTATAGGGACGTGCTTCTCAATCAAGAGCTAGTCCAAGAAGTTCCAGCCGAAGCAAGAGTGGTGTTGGATGAGTTCGAGGATGTGTTTCCAGAGGAAGCACCGAAGGGGCTGCCTCCTATTCGCGGAATTGAGCACCAAATTGATTTCGTGCCGGGAGCTCAAATTCCAAACAAGGCAGCATATCGAGCTAACCCGGAAGAGACCAAAGAGCTGCAAAGGCAGATTGACGAGCTCATGGAGAAGGGGCATGTTCGTGAAAGTTTGAGCCCGTGTGCAGTTCCGGTGATTCTCGTGCCAAAGAAGGATCACACCTGGCGGATGTGTGTAGACTGTCGAGCCATCAATCAAATTACAGTTAAGTATCGTCATCCAATTCCACGATTAGATGATATGCTTGATGAATTACATGGCTCTACGGTGTTTTCCAAGATTGATTTGAGATCAGGTTACCACCAAATTCGTATGAAGGAGGGAGACGAGTGGAAGACTGCGTTTAAGACCAAGCAGGGTCTATACGAATGGATGGTGATGCCCTTTGGTTTAACCAATGCGCCTAGCACGTTCATGAGGTTGATGACCCATGTTTTGAGGCCATTCATTGGCAAGTTCGTGGTCGTATACTTCGACGACATTCTGATCTACTCGAAGTGCATGGAGGATCATCTCAATCACTTGAGAGAGGTGTTGGCAATGTTGAGAAAGGAGAAATTGTATGCTAACCTCAAGAAGTGCTCGTTTTGCACTTCTAGTGTTATTTTCCTTGGTTTTGTGGTGAGTGCAGATGGAGTCAAGGTGGACGAAGAGAAGGTGAAAGCAATTCACGATTGGCCTATTCCAACCAACGTGAATGAGGTGCGGAGCTTTCATGGGCTTGCTGGATTTTATCGTCGATTTGTGCCCAACTTCAGCACCATTGCCGCACCATTGACATCCATCATCAAGAAGAACGTGACGTTCTATTGGGGAGAGGAGCAGACCAGAGCATTCGAGCTGCTCAAGCACAAGCTCACGCACGCACCTATTCTGATGTTGCCGGATTTCAATAAGACATTCGAGGTGGAGTGTGATGCTTCTGGTTTGGGAATTGGAGCAGTGTTGATGCAAGAGAAGAAGCCAATTGCTTACTTCAGCGAGAAGTTGAGTGGGGCTGCCCTCAACTATCCGACGTACGACAAGGAGCTTTATGCCCTAGTTCGAGCCTTAGAGACATGGCAACACTATCTTTGGCCGAAGGAGTTCGTGATTCACACTGATCACGAGTCGTTGAAGTATTTGAAAGCTCAACACAAGCTGAACAAGAGACATGCTCGATGGGTTGAGTTCATTGAGTCCTTTCCATACGTGATCAAGTACAAGCAGGGCAAAGAAAATGTAGTTGCTGATGCCCTATCTCGAAGGCATTCGTTGATCACGACAATGGGGGTGAAGTATTTGGGTTTCGAGCATATCAAGGAGCTATATTCTGATGATGCTGACTTTGGGGAGATCTATAGAGCTTGTGAGCAGCATGGCGATGGGAAGTTCTATCGAAGTGAAGGCTACTTGTTTCGAGCTAACCAGTTGTGTATTCCTCGATCATCACTTCGAGAGTTGCTGTTGAAAGAGGCTCATGGAGGAGGCTTAATGGCACATTTTGGTGTAGACAAGACGCTGAGTTGTCTACAAGAGCACTTTCATTGGCCGCACATGAAGGGAGACGTGGAGAATCTGTGTGCGAGGTGTGTGGAGTGCAAGCAGGCCAAGTCGAAGGTGCAATCATCTGGATTGTACACACCGCTACCGATTCCATATGCTCCATGGATCGACATCTCTATGGATTTTGTGCTTGGTTTGCCGCGGACAAGGAAGGGAAGAGATTCGATTTTCGTGGTGGTGGATCGATTCTCAAAGATGGCACACTTTATCCCATGCCATAAGACTGACGATGCGGTTAATGTGGCTGATTTGTTTTTCAGGGAAGTGGTGCGATTGCATGGGATGCCGCGTTCCATAGTATCCGATCGAGATACTAAGTTTCTGAGTTTCTTTTGGAAGACGTTGTGGAGCAAGCTGGGGACGAAGCTGCTGTTCTCTACTACATGTCATCCTCAAACCGATGGGCAAACAGAGGTGGTCAATCGAACATTATCCCAGATGCTTCGAGCTGTGATCAAGAGCAACATCAAGGTTTGGGAGGACTTCCTTCCCCATGTGGAGTTTGCTTACAACAGGATGGTGCACTCGACGACAAAGTTCACTCCGTTTGAGCTCGTGTATGGTTTCAATCCACTCACGCCTTTGGATTTGATGCCATTACCTTTGAATGAGCAGGTCAATCTCGATGGAGCCAAGAAAGCCGAGTTCGTGAAGAGTTTACATGAGAAGGCGAGATTGAACATTGAGAGAAGGACGAAGCAGATAATGCGCAATGTGAACAAAAACAGAAAACCGAGGCACTTTGAAGTTGGCGACTGGGTGTGGGTGCATTTGAGGAAGGAGAGGTTTCCCCAACAGAGGAAATCGAAGTTGCTGCCCCGATGTGATGGTCGTTTCCAGGTGGTTTCGAAGATTGGAAGCAACGCCTACAAAATTGACTTGCCAGGAGAGTATGGAGTAAGTGCAACGTTTAATGTTTCTGACCTTGCACCTTATTTGGATGGCAATTCGGATTTGAGGGCAAATCCTTTTGAAGATGGAGGGGTTGATGAGGACATAAATGGGCCAGTCACACGTGCAAAGGCAAGAACGTTGAAGGAGAAGCTTGCAACGTATTTGGAGAGCTACTTTGGGACCATGGACGTGGAGTTGTTTCGAGGAAAGCCATATATGATGATTCGAGTGGAGGAAGAAGGAGAAAGTGCTGGAGAAAAGGAAGATTGCAAGAAGCCTTAACGGGTTTGCTTAACGGGTCCAGCCTTAACAGGTTTGCTTAACGGGTTCAGGCTTAACAGTTTGGGCTTAACGGGTTTAATGGGCTATTTTCGGGTTTCCTTATTTTAAAGTCGGTTTATGATTGTTTTTCCATGTTGGAGTCAGATTTGGGTTGTACTTTGCCTATTTAAAGGGCTGAACACGTTGGTTTTGCTTTTAGATGATCATTATTGAATTTCAGAGGCTATTGCCAAGTTCCCTACATGGAATTTGCCCTAATTACTCTGTTGAGAATCTCCAGAGTGCTAGAGCGACTCTTATCAGCTAGGTATTCACCCTGGTTGTGGCGAGCTACCCATATTGATTACCCTTTATTCCAAGTTGAATCTGTCCGATCGATTCATATATCGATTGCCCTTATTCACAGGTGAGTACTGTCCGATCGATTTCCATCCTATCCGGTTCTGTTTGGTTCGAGAAGCTTGACCCTGCGCAACTTTGATTATATCATTTTCTACGGTCAGAAAAATCTCTCTCTCTCTCTCTCTCTCTCTCTCTCTCTCGGGAAATTCCCCTGGAATAATGGCGCTCTCTCTCTGGGGAACCCAGGAATTCCCCTGGCCGGATCGCAACGGCTCCGACACCACCGCGAAAATAGTGACTGCTGTCGACAAGTAGCTGATCTGCTGGTCGCTGCCGCCGCCGGTCGACGACCTCCTGGACATCATCTGACGCATCATCTCCGATGGGGTTGGTACCGACGGCGCCGTGGCGGCAGATTCTTTGTCGTAGTAGATTCGCTTGGACAGCTTGAGCCAGTATTCGATTGAGGTCTCGAACTCTTCGGCCATGTTTAGGGTGGGAAAAAGCTTCCGATTAATGGAATTCTGGCCGGAGACGGGAGGCGGCGCAATTAACCGGGCCGGAGACGGGAGGGGGTGCAAGGGGACGGGGACGAGAACAGCGCTGGCTTAATTTTTTTTATTCATTTTATAATTAAAAAATAAAATATAAATATGTAATTACTCTATTGCCCTTTATTAAATTGGATTAATTGGAGGCCTTTGATTTTAATGAGGTTTAGTGGCTGAGATTCACTTAGCCATGTGACTAAGGGACCCCCTAATCACCAGATCTTAGCCCATGTTCACCACCGATGTGGTACCTGATTTTGGATGTGACTCCTTTACAATTTTCAGTGTTCACACACACAATTAGCATATGATTTGCTTTTCTTATCCCTCGGAATCAAACATGGAAGTCCACCTTAGTCGAATCTCCTCTACTTCCAATCCAGTCTCAACGGAGTCGTCTGCCTACTGCCTGCAATGGCTATTAGGACATTCAATAAATATCTGGCAATTGTATACATAATGGTGGGTATCCAACCCAATCAACGAGAGAAATTCTCATCTTAATTGGGTACGAGCGGATATGAGTAACACCTACACAAAAAAAGGAGAGAAAAAAGTGATGGGATGAGTCAGCCGTCGGGGATGGGTTGAGTGAGGTGTCACCGGCCCATCTTCATGCATATAATCGCCCTGCATATAATTTGTATATTACCTACACATAATTACATGTCATCCTATATTTCCCTGCTCCATCTTTCACTAAGAAATTCAAATAATATAATGCTAAAAACCTTCATTTCACTTTTTTAATTCTATCAATACATATTATTTTTTTGTTATATTTTATCATACCTTTTGTGGCCCACTTATGATGTATAATATACCTTCAACATTTTAGCTTTAAATCGTACCTGTCTTCTACTTAATTACATTAATTTTAAGTTGAGTTTGATTTAGATTTGTAAGGAGGGTATTATTATCCAGTAACCACGAGAACGGAGGCGGGGATAGGAAACTTCCACCCGTACGGGAACGGTGAGGGTATGAGTTTACGAATTTAAAACGACGATGAAGATGAATTTATTGAAATCCATCCCAAACCGCACCATTTTCATCCCTAACTTCTACTATGCATGCCTGTTTTAGAAGTATTTTTATGTTTGAAAAGTCAAAACCAAACTAAACACTTTTATAGATTCATCTTTTTGAAAAAGCTGAAAATTAATTTTTATAACATAAAAACAGAAGTTTTAAAAATTTATGCATAAAACTATTTTAACATACCTTGTTTCATCTATATCATTAAAAAAATAAAATACCTCATAAATAATATTATGTAATATACAAAGTTCACGGTTATTTTTTCATATATAGTTTTAAATATTAATTTTATTCATTTTACACTATAAAAAATATTTATTAAAACTACTGTAAATTTTACAAGAATACCCAACTAACCCTATATTTCACCTATATTAAAATAAGTCCACGATATCACAACAGGGCAAAGGGGTAGTAACTATACGTAGGCATCCGGTCGGGCCGAACTGCCCACAGGCTAGTGCGGGTCGGTTAGAGTACGGTACGAGTACGAGCACGAAATAAATGGGCTAGCCCGGATGAGTACGAATAATTTATGGGTCGTGCCGGGTATAAACTTCATGGGCACATGCACGAGCACCGGCACGATATATAAGTGGGTTGTGTTGGGCCTAATATTTTTGACTTTATTGAGTATAAAAAACGGACATGACACAAAAAATATTTATTTGATAGAAAATAAATATATAAAGAATTATAAGTTCAACTATTACAAAATACAAGTACAAAAATAATTATTTGTTGTTGTTAGAAGTGTCATAAAGATATACGTAATTACTACCATAAGTAAAAATGGACGAAAAATTGAACAAAGCCAAATCACACCCGCTATACTTTCAATTTTATTTCCCCCTTATTTGTTATTTTTCTCAAACATTCTCGGTTAATACTATCTTTCTCCGTCCAATTTTCACCTTCTTTTTCATTCTCTCTTTTATTTTCTTCATTTTCATTAAACACGAATACGAGAACGACACGTTTCGAATCGTGCCCGTGTCGGGGCCGGGCCTAGCAAAGTTAATAAATAGGCTTTCATGACATGACACGAAAAATGATGGGTCGTGCCAAGAACGAAATAAACGGGTTCAAAGCGTGCCATTATCGTGCCGGCCCAAGCACGACCATGTACAGTAATAGCCATATTAATATTAGGCCCATAGAGAACTTTAGAGTAGCCCATAAGGAAAAAAAAATTGAACTGAGAATTGCAGGTCTTTACCCTAAAGGGAGCCCTTCCAGAAATTCTCAAAGGCCACGGGCAAGCCAGGACCCAAGAGGAGGTTTGGAAATAGTTTTCAACCAGCAATTGACGCGCCTCGGTTACTACATCACTAGCTGCGTCATTTCCCCAAACGGAAAGATACCCTCTTCTATGTGCTACCAACTGGTTATATAGGCTTCTGCTTCCCACTTCCTCATCATTTTGTGCCCGATGTGGATTCTCTCTGGTTTCGCAAGCCTATATACGTCAAATAAAAAGATCAAAGGCCCTATAAAAGGATTTCGATCTTCTTAGAACATAGGCTGTCAAGTATGTTCATAAACTTTGTGACCTATTTATTACATCCACAAACCAATCTTCAAACACTTCACCTACACGTCAACATAAATCTTTGTGCTCGAATCGTACCAAGCGCTTGTGTGAGACACCACGGCCTCGGGCGGCTTTCGATGGTCGAGGGCGGTCTTCGAAACCCTGCAAGAAAGGTCCTCATGGGGATTCTGGGACCTCCTCCGATGCCTAAGCTAGAGAGAGAATTGAGAGAATTGTAAATAAGAAAGAGAGTGAAGTTGTTGAAGTTACCATAAATGTGATCCCTTGATGGGTATTTATACTAGTCTCAGTTGAGGTGTGGGCATTTAATGGCCCGTCGGGGGCTCTAGATCGCCTCCGACTCTGCTATCGTACTTTGTCAGGCTTCGTACTGGGAGGCCACGAGCCTGTCCGTCCAAAATGTCGGGCGGTCTCTGGACGCCCTTTTCCCAAATGTCGGGCGGTTAGTCATAAAGATCGCCACTGCCCCTGATATCTATTTTGGGCCTCATTCATTCGTATGTGGGCTTTTTATGTGTTTGGGCTTGCGGGCCGTGTGTCTCAATGTTTGGCCCAACATTCGCCCCTTAGGTGTGAGAAGCTTTAGGTTTTCGCATCTAACTGATTCGTTTTACGATCATTGAGCAGGTACGGACCGTTATGCCCATGATGACATGCTACAGCGGCTGCTGACCGCTTTCCATATGATTGCCCGTTTGCCCCTAGTCGCAAAGACATAAAGCGACGGACGCCTAAGGGGTAATCCGAGGCAGTTTTCCTTGTCGTCTGTTGTTGCCACTTGTCGTACCTCGGGGGCGGAGCCCTGACATCTGTAGGCAAAACGTCATCTTTGGGTCTTGCGAGCCTTGGAGTTCGATACGCGTCGCTTCGGGATTTTGAACTTCCCTCTTTTTAGCTTTAAATGTATGGGGAGAAGATTTTTTCTGCCAAAACTCTTCATTGTTTTAGAAAGCGTTCATCTTCTTCCTCCCCTCTTTTCTTTGTGGATGTTCAGAGCTTGCCGCCGCCGACTCCTATAAAGTCCAATCGACGAGCCAGGTATGGTTTTCAACCTTTCTTCGCTTAGTGGTGCGGGTTCCTTTTTTCTTACTTCGGGTTTCTTCTTACCTTGCTCCGTTTCCGTGAAGGGCTTCCTTTTACGATTTTTGGGATCATGCCGTCCTCGGCAGCCTTCGATTTGGTTTCGATTCTTAGATGTCAGGCGGAGCTCCACGTTTCTTGTCCGGCGTCAACGCATGCGACACTGCCTCCCTCGGGAGTACTCCTGCCACCGATTCCCCTCCCGTGATTGTTCTCGAGAGGTATAAACTGCTCTTCTCCCATTCGAAACACATCTGAGTGTGTGTGGGATTTATCCGGGCTAGAATTATATGTTGGAAATGGTTCTGAATTGGATGACTGTCTTGTCGGGGAATGTATAGACTTAGATAACTATTGTGCTAACATGCGCCCTGTACTAGTTGGGGCTATGGCCACGTCTTCAGTTGTGGGGGATAATTTGGGTGAATTTGATCGGGTAGGCTTAGATAGTATTTTGTTGGAAGATGATCACGAGGTGAGCAGTGACGGAGTGCGCTCAGAGGCGTCTCCTAGTACTTCCTCTTCCCTGGAAATTTCAGAGTCTAGGGAGGCGAGACCACTCCCGGTTGCTATTTAGGATTCTGTGTACACCGTCTTATGTCATGCGCTCCCGGTTTCCGCTTGAACCCATCTTGACGAAGGTCCTGCATTGGCTCCACTTCACTCTGGGGCGGCTTTCTCCGACGATTATCTTTCACTCAGTCATGTATCGTCTTGCGTGCGACCGCATTAAGGAAGACCCGTCATTTGATGCGTTCAGGCTGATTTGCAACATCAGGTACTCAACCAATTGTTGGTCGATCAGGAGACGGGAGAATTCAGTCAGCTTTATTACCGGGGCGCCCAAACTAGACTCGCCCTGGTATAAGGAGTATTTTTTCGCTCGCCCCTCCTGGTGGTATGCGGGTGATACGGAGCTGCTACGGGCTATGCGGTTTCCTCAAAGGATGACTTGTGTGATTCCCACTAGTTTCCTCAATCGGTGATAGATTATGTGGCACGCATTGTGGAGGTTGGCCAGTTACGTATGCGTCACAACGGTTTGGACAGTGCATACCGGCTTGTTCGTGGTTTTTACAGTTAGTAGTGTATTTTCTTGACTTTAGTGCTTATATTTCTCATGTATTTTTACTTATGCTTCCTTTCCCCAGGTTTGAGGGAGTTGGCGGACGCGAACATGCCGCGGAGGAAGAAGGCGGGAAAGATCGCTCGAGCGGGAGGCGCTTCCTCGTCGGCTGCGGCTGCCGCGGCTGATCCATCGGTGGCTTCTCCAGTTCGGCTAAATGTCGACCCTCCTAGTGCGGCTGGTGGTGCGGTAATTCCTGTGGTGCGGGGCGCGGGGAAGAGGTTGCTGCCGCAGGAGACGCCTGAAGCGGTCTTGTAGCGTGCCAAGATTCGAGCCTCCCCTTCCAAGGCGGAGGATAGGCGTGGGAAGGAAGCGAAGCGGTCTGATAAAGCTAGTCTAGTTGTTGTGCCCCCCTTGGTCGCTACTGACACTGAAGATGCTGAGCTAGCATTCCATACTATCAGTGAGCAGCTTGTGATGCCCAACGAGTACACAGCTACATCTCATGGGAGTAACCGCCGTCTGGCCGGGACCGCCTCGCAGTTCTTCTTTGGGGTTAGTGTTTGCAAAATTTTTGACCGCGCTTGTGGTATACTTTTCTAACTGGTTTGGTGTTTGCATTGTAGGCTCATATCGGATTTTCTCAGATTATGCTGCTCAATGACCGCCTGTAGAAGACTGTCGATGATAATGCGGTCGAGATTGCCAACCTCAAGAAGAGTCTGGAGGAGGGTCGAGCAGTTTTGATGGAGGAATTGCGTCCTCAGATGGAGAAGAGCTTCGACGAGCAGTTGGCTCGGAAGGATAAGGAATTGTTGGATGAGAAGGAGGCGTCCAAGGCGTTCTGTGAGGAGAGGGACCGCCTCCAAGATTCACTTCGGAAGTTAAGCGAGATTGAAAAGACATTGCTGGAGGAGCAAGAGGCGCTACGCAAGGAGGTGGACGCCCTGAAGTTGGATAAGGTGTCTTTTCTAGTTAATCATGAGGCAGAGGTGACCGTTGTTTGAGCTAAAGCCGGTCCTGCCTATCTGAAGTCTTCCGAGTTTCTTGCCTATGATAAGGCGAAGTACAAGGAGGTAGTAGGCAACGTGGTGGCCGCCATACGTCACTTGTTCCCTGGAGAGCGACCCGATGTGGCTTGGGACACTGACCGCGTGTGGGATGCGATCGGCCATTGGTCCTCTTATGACGTGAACTCGGAGGCAGAAGGTTCAGAGGAGGAGGCAGGAGATGAGGAATAATGCGTTGAAGAAGGTGATGCGAGGGGCTCTCAGAGTGTTTGAAGCCCTCCGGTTTACTTTCTGCAAGCTTCTCTATCTTTTGGCGGGTTTTGAGAGCCCTAGACATTTTTCTTTATGCACTTCTATTGTTATTTGAACCATGTCATCGTGACCGCATGGCAGCGGGCTTTTGTTTTCTTTTTCTTATGCAAACAATCCGTGGTGATCGCGTTGGAGCGGGTTTATGATATGGCATGTTTCTTTATGCACTTTTCATCTTTCGGACCGCGTTAGGGCGGGTTTATCTTACTTTATGGATCGCAATTTGTTCTCGTACTTGTTGATCAAACGCGAGAGAAGCCATTGGAGACAGAGATTTGGCCGAAAGATAGTAGTGTATTACTTTGAGCAAAAGTTGTGCTTGGTAGCAGCCAATACACTATTACACATGGAGGGAGTTCTTCCATATCCACACAAAATACCCTTGTTCGAGCGAAGAGTACTTCAAACCGCATCTATGTAGTACTTTCTCAGATGCATGCCATTCCAAGTCTTGGAGACAGGAGTGCCCTCCATGGTGGCAAGGCAAAAGGTGTTGGGACCCGTCTTCTCTCTGATGAGGAATCTTCCTTCCCATGTGGCGGCCAGCTTGCCGTGTTCATCCTTCTTTTGGAAGTTCCGTTTGAGAACCATGTCTCCTTCCTCGAGGGGACGCAGTTTCAATCTTTTGTTGTAGGAAGCCGCGACCTTGGCCTTTTCCTGCATGATGCGTTCCATGGCTGCATCACGTCGCGACTCTACCATGTCCAACTGTTCCAGCAACTTCTTGTGATTTCTCTCCGGATGGTATGCCTGCACGCGAAGGGAGGGCAGGTTCATCTCATCTGGGGCGATCGCTTCAGAGCCGTAAGTTAGGGCGAAGGCAGTTTCACCCATGGATGTTTTGTGGGTCGTGCGATGCGGCTATAAGATGCGTGGGAGCTTGGTTGTCCATGCCCCTTTGGCCTCTCGGAGGAGTTTCTTCAATCCTTGGAGGATCAGCTTGTTGGATACTTCGGCTTGACCATTGGTTTGCGGATACGCTACTGAGGCCATGGTGCATGTGATGCAGTTTCTGGCGCAAAAGTTCTCAAACGGCTGACAGTCAAATTGCGTTCCGTGGTCAGTGATGATCGAATGTGGTCCCACCATGCTTTGTAGCTCGGAGCTAGGAAGGTGGTGTTTGGAGGCATGCACTTGACACGCATGAAATTTTAGGACGATGTCTGATGCGTTCTTCTTGATTGTTGGCCAGTAGTAGCCTTGCATGGGGATCTACCTTTCGAGCGACCGAGGACCGACATCTGTGGCAAACGTCCCTTGGTGTATCGCTTTCAGGGTCCATTGTGCCTCCTCTGCCCCGAGGCACTTTAGGTATGCTCCTGAGAATGACCTCTTGCATAGCTGACCACCAACCATTGAGTATCGGATCGCCCTCCGCTTGAGCGCCTTCCGCTCGATTGGGTATTGTGGGGGTGATGTCGTGTTCCAGGTATTGGATCAAGGTGTCCTCCAGTCGGCGACCTCTTCGATGCTCATGACTTCCTCATGGGATTCATTTCCCTTTGTGACGGTGACGTGGTAATCCCCTTCGAAGTCTATGATGGTTACGAGCTTAGACAGTGTATCGGCATGTTGGTTTTCCTCTCGTCGGACGTGATCAAGTTTCCAAGTGTTCAATTGTGCCATGGCGCTCCGCACCCTGGTGGCCAAAACTGCTAGAGCTTCATCCTTGATTTCAAACGCTTCAAGTACCTGTTTGACGACCAGGAGGGAGTCAGAGAATATGTGCACGTCGGTCACACCTAAGGTTGAGAGCACTCGGATCCCGTTGATTAAGGTATCGTATTCAGCAACGTTGTTGGTTTTAATCTCGCTGAATCTTTGAGAGATTTCATGGACCACTCCGTCGAGCGACTCAATGACAATCCCTGCCCTTGAGGTGGTTTTCCCAGATGCTCCGTCTATGGATAGAAGCCATACTCGATTGCGCCCCTCAAAGGGAGCGGCTTCAAGGGAGAATCTCTCGGCGATGAAATCGGCAAGGACTTGTCCTTTGATGGCCAGTCTTGGGGCTACTCATTGTCGTATTCACTGAGCTCGATTTCCCATTTGGTCAGTCTGCCTGAGGCGTCCTTTCCCCTCATGATACTTTTGAGCGGAAGATGTGATAGAATCCTGATTGGGTGCTCTTGGAAGAACGACCTTAACTTTCTAGCCGCGAAGGCTGCGACGATGACTGCCTTACCTACAGGCCTGTTTTAGGCCGCGTATGGCCTCGATTTTCTTCAGTTTAGCCTATATTCCTCTCTTTGTGATCATGAATCCGAGAAACTTCACCGCTTCGGCGCCGTAGACACACTTAAGTGGGTTGAGCCTTAGATTTCTCTTTCTCAGTGTTTCAAAAGTTTCTCTTAAGTCAGATAGGTGGTTGCTTGCCTTTTGCTTTTGACTAGTACATCGTCAGCATATGCCTCTACATTTCTTCCCATTTGGTCTTTGAAGACAGCGTCGACCATCCGTTGGTAGGTCGCCCCTGCATTCTTCAACCCGAAGAGCATGACTATATAGCAAAAGTTGCCCATATGAGTCATGAAAGAGGTGAGCTCTTGGTTGCCTTCATCCATTCTGATTTGGTGATATCTAGTGAACATGTCCAAGAAGCTGAGCACCCCATGATTGGCGGTCCCATCGATTAATTGATCAATGCGGGGAAGGGGATATGCATCCTTGGGACACGCCGCATTGAGGCTAATGAAGTCGATGCACATTCTCTGGGTACCTCCGACCTTGCGTACGAAGACCGAGTTTGAAAGCCATGTGGGGTATTTTACCTCCCTGATGAAGCCGACTTTGAGCATCTGTCACACCTCTTCTTCGAGGGCCATTTGCTTCTCTACGGACAAGTGCTTTCTTCGTTGTTGTATTGGCCGCGCATTGGATTTGACTGAGAGGCGGTGTTCGCAAACTCTGCGGGGAACACCTGGTATGTCTTCCGGTCCCCATGCGAAGAGGTCTTAGAACTCTCTGAGGAGTGTGAGCAGCCTTTGAGCTTCTTCTGCGGCCAAGCCAGCAGAAATGCAAACTGTCCTTTTTGGTCGCTCTTCGTCTAGGGCGACCTCTATGTCTCCTTCAACTGCTTCAAGGCGGGGGGCATACCCTCTTGCGTCGATAAGGTCGACCTCGAGGTGCTCGATGGTCGCTTCGTAGCATTCTCAGGCTTCCTTTAAGTTGCCTCGGACGCGCCCCGTCTGACCCCCTCTAGGGAATTTTAACATCTGGTGGCAAGTGGACGCGACCGCCTCGAAAGAAGCTAGGAAACCGCGTCCGAGAATGGCATTGTACGTCGAAGGGCAATCCGCCACATGAAATTCCACTGGTCTGGTCTTCGCAATCCCGCCCTCGCCTATAGTGAGTTTGAGTGTGATCGATCCGAGGACACGGACTTTAGTTCTGGAGAACTTTACTATGCTAGTGTTGGAGGGGCTGAGATCTTGGACGCTCTTCTTCATCCCTTTGAGCGCTGAGTAGAAGAGGATGTCTGTAGAGCTTCCGTTGTCGACGAGAGCTCGGGTGACTTTGAACTTGGCGGTTATGAATGAGATGACCAAGGGGTCTTCAGTATTTTCCTCCTTGGCCAGCTTGGATGGCAGGACAGTGACGTCGGTTGGCACTACTCTGTGTTGGAAGTTCAGGCAGTGAGCTATGCGGTCTCCCTCAGTCCTAGGGCGCTTCCTGCCTCCCATAATGGTTATAATCTCCATCCCGAGGTCATCATTTCGTGGAGGCCTATAGGCGGGGGACTGTCTTAGTGGCGAGGCGGCCTTGTTCCTCGGGGGGGGGGGGGGGGGGGGGGGATCTTTACCTTTCTTTCCTTGACCTTCTCGCTTTGTCCACCTCGGGGCTAAGGGAGTCTTCCCGTGCTTCTTGGGAGTGATCTCAATGTGGACGCCGCATCTCGAGGCGGCTTCGCAAGTCTCCTGGAGCCAGATACCTTAGGCTCGCCTCAAACTCCCTACACTCTGTGGTGTCGTGGGTGGTCATTCGGTGCCAAGCGCACCACTTTTTTCCGTCTTGCAGCTCTTGCCCGGAGGACGCTTCATGTTTCTTGCCTCCCCTTCGTCTTTCCCTTCCTCTTTCTCGGTTAGTGGAAAATACTTCCCTTTTTCCATCTCGTTCAGTGTATCTATTGCGATATGGTCTCCGCGCATTTGCGGATCGGCCCGAGTGCGACCTTGCTGGTTCCGGTCATCAGTAGCCAATGCTTCCTCGAGTAGGATCACCATTCTCACCAACTGGTCCAAGTCGAACCATGAAGTTAAGGCGACCTCCTTTTTTATCAAGGTCCTTTTGAGTTCGATGCTGGTTGTAGATATTCTAAGGTTGCTGGCGGCTACTACCGAAGATATGCCTGTATTTCGCATGCGATCACATTCCATTGGCCGTAGAACTCCGCGAGCGATTCTACCATTCTTTGTATGCAATTTATGAGCGCGGAGACGGTGAGCTTACGACGCCTTTGAGAGGCGAACTTCTTGGAGAAGAGCATCGCGAATTGCTCAAATTATCTGTTACACCCCGCTCTTCCCAAAAGTCAAAATGACTATTATACCCTTGGGGAAATTTGTCAGATTCCATCGTAATATCCATGAGGACTAAAAATGCGAACTCTCGGTTCAAACGGTGTCGAGTTTTACGCACATTATTTGAGTTTCGGATTAAACTCACCCATAATTTATGAAATGGCGAAAATACCCCTCGAGTTAATTATAACCCAACCCAACCCTAATCCCATTCATCACGCGGTCTCATCAGCGCCAAAGCGGCCGTCCTCGACTCTTCCACCACATCCCTGATTCTCCCTGATTCTCTTCTGCTATGAGACATGCCTGCTTAAGCAAGCAGGAGGGTAAGTCGAAATAGTGGGGGGCCGAACTCTGGCTTGTGTGGTCTATCCGCTACTACAAGACCTGCCTGGGCAACAACAACGTGCAGGTGAAGGGCGTAAGAGATGATCCGTACCTAGGCTTTCGTTTCCACAAAGCAGTCTCAGGCTTTCCTACCGCAAAGCAGCAACCGAGCGAGGTGCGTGAGCGGCCATTATTGCTGTTCTCCCCTCTACTGTGACAACTGCCTTCTTAAGAAAGCAGGAGGCGGGAAAAGGAGGCGATTCAGTAGCGGACCAGTGCGGTCGAGATGGGTGAGCGGCCATTCTCCCCTCTACCATGACACATGCCTGCTTAAGCAAGCAGGAGGGGCGAAACAATGAGTCGATTGGGTGAATGGACAGTGGGAGAGGATCAATTTGGATACAAACAGGGCCAAATCCAAAACGTGTCCCCTCTCTATATATTCCACCAAGAAATCACAATTGTTACCGACAACCACACCTGGGAAGTAGCGGCGGCCATCTCTGGAGATGCAGTACGTGCAACCGGAAATTGAAGGCGAATGGTTTTGGGTAAGTTACCTACACTACCCGCATTTAGTTAGTTCGTAGAGGAATAACAAGTGAAATGGTTAAGTGAATATGTACATATGTGGGAGGTGCTTTAACATGGCTTGGGCAATTTGTTGTGGTTGTTTTTTGACGACTGAGACGAATGGAGTTGATGGGGGAGCAACGCCGATTAAATGCTAAGCTGTTCCATGACACCTTTTGGAATACCTAGTTCATGAAGCCGATGGATTTTAACTATATAGTCAAGTGAGTGTAAAGGGGGTAAATTCTACGCCTTACGATTTTTCAAGTATTTGCCTCGAGTATTTTTCAAGTATTGATTTATGTGATGTATGTGCAGTATTTGATTCATGTTTGAGATTGCATGATTATATTTGATGGTATGTGCTTTGCTTGAACTATAATTTGAAGTGAAGGTGTATGAGTTTATCTCTTACTTTGAAGTTTTAAGTTAATGAGTAATTGTTAAAGTTTAAGAACAAGTTCTTTTTAAGAAGTACTTCACCTTCAAGAAGGTGAAATCGTTTTAAGAGTTTTTAGTCACTAGCGTCAGTCCGTTGCCATTTGAGATTTTGAGATAGAGCAGCAGTTATGCTCTTGAGACTTTTAAGATGAGCAGCAGTTATGCTCTTGAGATATTTTAAGATGGCAGCAGTTATGCTCTTGAGAATCGTGGAAGAAGAGCCTTCCGCGATAAGTTTAAGTTTAAGGAAAGCCTGGATGGCTTCTCATACGTATGAGTTGGCAACCGGACTAACTAGTGAGGGATCCCCGTGTCAGTCAAGAATTTAAGTGGAGATTTGAGCTTTAAGAATACAGTTTTAAGAGTTAAGCTTTTTAATAGTGGAAGTACAAAACAAGTTCCACTCAGTTGAGTAAAGTGATCAAGTATTAATAAGATGTTAAACGTAAAGGGCGTAGACTGACCCCATCTCACCCACCAGTTTGAAGAGTCAGAGGAGGAGCTAGAGGAGCAGTTAGTGAGCAACGAGTTCGAGGGCAGCCAGCTAGAGGAGGACAGTATAAGCATCACAGAGGATGCTTAGTCAGGGTTTTCAGTAGCAACAACATCAGAGATTGCCCATGTGTTAGGGCGTTGCCTTGAACTACAATAGTGTGTTTTCAGTATTTTATTTTTTTGAAAATTTTTCCGCTGCTTTTAGCGTTCATGGTTGTTGAGTATTTACAGTTTAACAAGGGTATTTTAGTAAAAGTAGTACACATCCGGGTTAGGGTGTTACATTCTCAATTTTCCCTTCCGGGATGGAGGTATACCTCGTCTTGCACTTACCGCTGAAGGTGATAGGAAACGCTCGGCACAAGTCTGAGTCCGATGCGTTGATGAGTTGCATCTTTAGCATAAAGGCACAAAGATGGTCCGCAGGATCTGATGTGCTATACGTGGGCAGTCATAGAGAAGAGAAATTAGGCTGGACCGGGTTCATGAAGAGCTCCCTTAATAGGGGGTTTTGGAGACGTTCTAGGAAGCCAAGGTCCACGTCTTCCACCTCTTGTCCCACACCTTCTGTCCAGGCAGGGCTGTCGAGGTCCAGGGCGATCTTCTGCTTGTCCTTGCGCGCATCTCCCCTTGATCCCTCTGCGGGGTCCTCCCTCGTTTTCTAGAGGTGGAGGATTTGGGAGAGGCTGTCTTGCATGTTTGCGATTTGCAAGCCTTGACTCTTGACAACTTCCTCGAGCACAGATTCGTCTTCGACTCTTGGTGATAGGTCTCGGAGGGTGTTGTTCTCGGTCATCCCTTTGAGAGGGGTCTCGAAGTCGTCTCCCATTGTTTTACCGCAACCAAGTCGTGAGCCCCACGGTGGGCGCCAAAATGTTTGTGCTCTGATCGTACCAAGCGGTTGTGTGAGACACCACGACCCTGTGAGGCTTTCGATGGTCGAGGGCGCTCGTCGAAACCCGGCAAGAAAGGTACTCAGGGGGATTCTGGGACCTCCTCCGATGCCTAAGTTAGAGAGAGAATTGAGAGAATTTTAAATAAGAGAGAGAGTGTAATTGTTGAAGTTACCATAAATGTGATCCCTTGATGGGTATTTATACTGGTCTCAGTTGAGGTGTGGGCATTTAATGGCCTGTCGCGCGCTCTAGACCGCCTCCGACTCTACTATCGTACTTTGTCAGGCTCCGTAATGGGAGGCCAGGAGCCTGTCCGTCCGAAATGTCGGCCAGTCTCTGGACGCCCTTTTCCCAAATGTCGGGCAGTTAGTCATAAAGACCGCCACCGCCCCTGATCTCTGTTTTGGGCCTCATTCATTCGTATGTGGGCTTTTAATGTGTTTGGGCTTGCGGGCCGTGTGTCTCGATGTTTGGCCCAACAATAAAAAATATATAGGTCGACCTATATCTCGTAGCATAGTGTCATTTCGTGTTATTACTAGATAGTTATTAGGTTGACCATTTTGCAATATCAAGTATATCTTCACATTCAACGATTGTCACATAGCCCACATGGAACAATGTCCCTCAAAGTAGGGGTGTACATGGGTCGGGTGGTCCGATTTTAGCCATTTTAATCACCCGACCCATGTACTTCGGTTTGGAAAATATTAAACCCAAACCCACCCAAAAAAATTTAAACTCTACAGTTTGTTTCTAATTGGGTTGGGTCGGGTTGACGATACTTTTAAGTAAAAATCCAACCCAACACAGAATATATAATTATTCTACACCATAAAATTATTTTATAACTAATTAAAATTTCAAACGAATAAACCAAGGTGAAAGGTATCAAATTTCACCAATGTTGTTTGAATTTTAATAAACTGTGATTTACTTCAACATATATCTAGTTGTTTTTCACGATATTTGTTGAAATAGACTAAAAAGGTTATGAACGAACTCATTCATAATATGTTATTCTATTAAAATTGTACACAAGAAAAAGGATCACGTGAATCATAGCTATATTAAATTTATGTCTAAACTTTAAGCCGAAAATGCATTAGATTAGGGAGGCCATGAGAGAAAAACATGGTGAAATATCTTAATTTTCTCATAAGTATGGCTATATACGACATAAATTTTTTTTGGATACGAACTCATACCCATAGTTGGAACACGGGTTGGGTCGGGTTTCTACGGGTTGTGTAATCCAAAATCCAAACCCAACCCAAAAGAGGCGGGTTGTACAAAAGAAAACACTCAACCAAATACGGGTGGATTGGATCAGGTTGGACGAGTGGATCGATTTGCGAGTGTGTTTGATAACCCCTACCTCAAAGCCATGTCATAGCTTCCCCAGTGTAGGATTGAGTTTCGTATGGAACTTACTTTTTTGTTGAATCGGGTCAATTGAGTTGCTCGAGCCGTGTCAATTAGGTCATGGGTCAATCAAGGTATCGGTCGAACAGGTCAAGGGTCATTCGCTTTTAGTGTTTCCAGTTGAATATCCTTGGTCATTTTTTCATGAAAAGATAAAGTAGACCCTTTACATATGATCATAGCCAATAATGGAAGACTTGAATACCAAGGTAGTGAAAGTAGGAGTCGATTACTTGGAACCTGGACATCAATCATTTCTCACTTCATTGATCTGTTATTTGATGTAAACAGTAACAGATCCTGAAAAGTGCTGTTCAACGGTCCCTAACAGATCCCAACACTCCGCCTTCTTTACGATGGCTAGAAGTTTGGCCTAACATTACAGCTGAGTTCTTCGTTGTATATGTGTACTCTAGCACAGATGTTTTACAGAACCTATACATGATCTGTCACTCGCAAAAGAGATGCTTATTATCATATATTTACAGTACACTGGCTGGATGTTGAAGCTAGGGGGTGACAGTCAGCCTTCTCAGACCTGAAACGCCGGTTGGCAGCAACAGAGGCTTCTTCTCCTGTTTCTATCAGTTGTTTTAGTGAGATAACATTGTATGTTTGCGTAATCTGAAGCTAGGCGATTCCATGAAAAAGAAGGATCAGTCACTTTTGGGAAGCAAGGCCTCTGAACAAAAGAACACCTAAACCACCAATTGCTAGAGTCAACATCAAAGGAACTGCAATGGAGTCTACTTCCATCAGGCTGCTACTGGCCCTTTCAGTTCTATCTTTACGAGACTGCTCACCCCAGCACTCGTGGAGAAGATTGCTGACGTTGTCTAATTGGTGCAGGATCTGTCGTTGTCCTCTCGCCACCTGTAGAAGCTGTTTCAGAACACTGTTTTAGCAGAAGATACCGAAAAAAGACATCTGCCACCGGTAACCGGTTTAATCCTCATCAATTGACCGAGAGTCAAGTCTTTAACAAAGATTGAAACACAGTTGAAGTCGGTACCTCATCCATCAGCTGGGACTCTTTGGCCAGTTGGGAGGACGACGAAGAATGAGGTATCAGTGAACCACTTAGGGGACCATTAGCCAAGCCAGCCACGAACAGTGCAGCAGGTGTTCCGGTGCCATTGCAAGCTTCAGAGGGCAAAGCCAGGTTTTGTTGGCTAGCTGAAACTTTCCTGACACTCAACTTAGAGTTGAGGTCCTCAAGACGGGATGTAAACTCATCCATCCGCTCATTCAGGGTGGAGATCTGGTCCGAAAGTTGAGCAACAACCCCCTGAAAATTTTGGAATCAAAGAAATGGCAAGTCAAACATCGAAAAAACGGATTTCTGTTTATTCTAGGTGATTCAGTGGAGAGCAGTAACAAAAGTTACTAATAGTTATCATGGCTGATGGTGGAGTTGGAGAGACAAGTTACAACGAAGACATTAAATACTCACCTGTGTAGCTAGACCAGCTGGGGGCTCCATATTTCTCCCATCAAATGTTCTATTGTTAACAGCAAGTCTTGTCAGATTGGACATATTCTTCTCACGTCGACTTGAAAATGACTGAGACATGCCACTGCATAAGATATAAATAGCTATGAGGTGGAACCCTATGTGCTCGGAACAAAATAGTCTAACACTGCATTGCAGTTCTTTAGTTGCAGTGCTATTTTTAAATTGTAATGAGCCTTGGGATGTTCGTTCATAATAATACTCTTTTCACCACAAACTACAGAATACCGGCTAAGATACTTGTTTCTTCTGTCTACTGAGGCTCGAGAGAGGGCTTCTTTGGGGCTTGAAGCTAAATCATCATCAATGCTTAGTTTTGACTTCAAATCATCTGGCAGTGCCTGCAAGTTGATATCAGAATAAGTACAAGCTGAATCTCAAGGACAAGATATCATCATCATTTTGAGGAATCATTTCATACCATAACATCATTTACAAGCTTTTCCAGCTGGATTTGTTCTATGTAAGTTCGAGGGACATATGAACCATCCAAGCCTAGCTGCTCTGCAACAGTTTTAACATAGAGACGGTCTCTACCTTGCACCTAACACAAAACAGCACAAGTTTGCTTTATAGGGTCAATTCACTTTAAATCCAAACAAAACCTGTTAGCATAGCAAGGAGGACAATTATAGCAGAAAATAGGAGTGAGAGAGTAATCAGTACCTGAACACAGCGGCGGTTAAGTTGTTCTAACCAGTCAGTTTTCACGCAAACCTTGTCATCATGAAACACATGGCTGCTTCTTTTCAGTATGGCAGCAATTGTGTAGCCCAAAGCCATGAGTCCTCCCAGAAGACGCACACTAACTTCAAAAGTTATCCTAGGAGATATTATGAATGGACTGTCTGTAACCCACTCCTGCAAACAGGAAATGTAATTAAAAAAAGAAAGCCTCAACAAGTCCTTCCCCAAAAAAATTTGTTACAAGTCCAGAAAATAGGCACTATGCCATGCAAAAGTTAAATTGATATGTGCATAACATCTAACAGCTGAGTACCGACACAGATTATTTGCAATAAATCTATGTTCTTTAATCATCAGCTCATGAGAACCGAAAAAGTTCACAGAAACTAAGCTGCATGTCCTTCAAAGATCACCAAAATGGAACTGTAGAATTTCCCTTCATAATCAAAAGAAAGATCAAAAGTATAAGCAATCTGATACTAATGACGTGGTCCAAAGTTATATACAAAAGCATGCTGGAGCTAGTTGACGTATTTCTGATCGAGTTATCCACTTCCAGAAATTACAACTAACTGACCTCAAACATGAGATTGTACTTTCCATCCCTGTTCCGCATCCTCAAATATGATTGACATGCTTCTGGATCTTCACCAGGAGGTAGAAGATAAATGTCGTAAGTTTCCTCTGTTCTCTCATTGTATTCTTGAGGGAAAACAGCCTTTATTTGTTCATCTGTGACAGACCTTGCTGACTACACAAGACAAAAAAAGTTTTCCATTCCGGAGAAATTCAATCAGTGACTCTACAATGGGAGAATCACAGAATTAGCAATACTGATTACAGAGAGGAAGGAACCTTCAAAATATAAGTTGGACTCTGAAACCCAGTGAAAGGATTAAACTTGTTGATGATCTTTATATGGGCAGTCTGGAGATCGGGCTCAATGAATGCCTTGTACATTGGGTAAACCTGTTGGAAGGTAATGAAAACGAAAACAACGAGTGTCACCACAAGAACTATCAGAGGCATTCAACAGATATCAATCAGGGGATAAGCAAGCACAGTTTCAGAGATCTGATGAATTATTTCTTCCGGCGCTTGACCAGCACGTTGAATATCCCGCAAAACTCGTTTGACAAGGTCAAAGTGAACTCCACCAGTAATAGATACACGAAGATCTAGCAATGGTCTTAGTTTCTCGCTTAATGCATAGATGCCTTCTATGATCACAATGCGGGAGCTAGGAACTTCCACTGCCCTGCCAAGATCACGAGTATGATGAGGATTACTAACAACACCAGCAGTATATAACAGATAATGATCAAGGCACACACATGGCTGGCTTGTTTAACCATATGAGTAGAAGTATTTGAAAAGATTGAATTTGTCAAGGCTATCAACTTTTAAGTTTTAATTCATCTGGTTCATTCCTTCTTGGCTTTGGCACCAGAATAAAGAGAAAACCTAGGAGAAGAGATGCATATATATAAAAACAAACGACCTGTAACCAATTCGAGAGCTTGTCTTGAAGTCATATATTGGAACTTGAGCTATTTTCCCTTCTCTTAAACCACGTATGTTATCAAGTAGTGTCTCATAATCCGTCAGCCTTGGATCTGTGAGAAAAAAGCAGGACATTAGCATTTTCTGATGTATAGCTTTCTTGCTCTTGATGATAGATACAGTGATCATTTCTGAGACTACAAAATGAACAAATGGAGAACACATATGAGATGATCCAGTCATAACTCGAGTTATTGGGATCAACTAGTTCTTGACATGATATCAGAGAGATCCACTTGTCAGGAGTAGATGATTGAAGCACTCCAACTGTGTTTCAGGTTTAGATGACTTAAATTTTAATCTAAAGCTATTACACACATTACATCTAGAGCAATTATTCTGGGGTAGTAATCTCCAAAGTAGGTTTCTCTTAAACAAACCATGAATCAATGGTTAGACCTAGATATCCTGAAGATATGTATGAGTAGAACATTTCTAAGAAGACAAACATTGAAAAGTTTTTTTCTTAAGCTACTTCCAAACTTCTAGCTTCACTTATCTGTTTTGAATTGAAGATCTGAGGTCGAACAAGTATTTGTTTTTCATCAAAGGCAGATTTTCTACCAAAATTACATTAACACGACCACCTATCAAAAAAATAAATGGCACCAGCACAATGATACCCTGAAAGCTTTAAAAAAGTTCCACCAACCAATTTTGCATATATTGTAGTCCTTTCATCCATAGCTCACAGAAGAACCATGGTTTGGAAAAAATAACGCCTTTTTGTGTGATGTTGTTGTTCGTCTCACGACTGCAATATTTTTTTCACTGCAATTTTATAGTTCACCATTTCAGTCACATTTCAACCCCGGATAGCAACAAAATTTTCAGTAGCATTGTTTCTAACATGAAGCAGCAGATCGCTCTTGAGCACACAACACAGCAGCAGAAGGGGTTATTTCGAAGGCTATTAGGACCAAGGGAGTTTATTCAGTAATAAAAGAAGACTCATATTTGAAGGACAAAGGCAAACTGAAACATAAGATACTTACCATCGAAGTTCCCATCAATAATGCGACTAGAATCATTGTAATTGTCCATCGAAATAACTGCAATGCTAGGCAAAAAGTTGAGAACCTTCTCAGTGAACACGGTCTTTCCAGCTCCAGAGGGGCCTGCTACTCCTACTAAGATTAAGCCTTCATTCTTTTGAGCCAACAGCTGGCATGCACGGATAACAATGAAGAACCCTTTCTCAAATGACAATGTTTCTTCAATTGGGGCAACCTCATAGCGCTCAGAATCCTTTCTTTTAACAACTTTGACCTGATCTCTCAGGAGTCCAGCACGTCGTCTTGGTGAGTCAACACTAGCAGAAGTATCCTGAGCCATTTATGAGTTGACGACAAATTTCTTTCTTGCTTCTTCAGGAGGGGCAGAAAAAACAAGAGAAACTGTTTTAGAAGGAAGCAAAGCATAACTTTTTGCAGAGAAATGCTAGACATATTATGCTTCAACTGTCAACGCAAGAAGTGGACTGCTAATGCCTATGAGGCATAAGAAAATCTTGGAATCTGCACAACAGAAATGAGTTCCTGAATGATTATTATAACCATGAACTGAAGCCAAGGATCAAAAGAAGCCCAGTCTAATCTAGAGTCACATAAGGCTAACTCACAGCCACATACTAATCTTCGCCCTACTTAAACTATGATATGGAGGGAATTCAACAAGTATAAAAAACATATACTACAGTTCTACTAGATCAACTGTACCAACTGGGAGAATGGAAAAGGGAAGAAAATACAACAAGGCCCATATTAGATCATCAAATTTGCACAAGTGCTCTGTTCCCACTTTCACCGAGCAATAGTTTTGATCAAAGCAGCAAGCTTTCTGAGCTAAAACCTCGAGATTGAGCAATACCCTCTGCTAAATTTGGAGAACTTAAGAAAAGTGGTCAAAGCAGCAAACTTTCTGATTGAGAGGGCGAAGTGCTCACCTGGTTAGTTTCGTTGGAGCGGTGTATTGCTCGTTCCTGTTAGATGTTGCTTTCTTCCTGCCCATATAACTGTGAGTTCTTGGAACAAGTGACGATTATCCAGTTAAAGGACGGCAGTTGCTCTGGATATTATTTCTCCTTGTTCCAATTTGGTTTTCTCTGAATGAGAGATCAATGGTGTTTAGCACTGCCCATCCACAAGGTTGACCCACCGGTCGACCCAGTTTTACCCGTCCACAAAAACGGGTCATACTGACCCAATAAGAATTTCGCCCGGATTTGGTCAAACCCGTCCAGACCCGGTCGGTTGGCCCAATACTGGGTTAGCGGGCTTTGCAAGAGCAGCGCCGTTTCGAGCGATCCTCTTCTGTGATGCACGAATTTGGATATGGAGCTTGATGTTTGTGAGAGAGAGAGGAAATTGAAAATGCCACGTTCTCCATCTTCTCTCCAGACCCGTCGTCTTCTCCCTACTTGAACCCGCATCTGAAATTTGTTAGGAACGGAACAACAACAAGAACGAGATTACGGAATCTGGAGCTTAGTCGCGGACTAGGTCGCTCTCTTTAAGACGTTCGCGACACTGCCTTCGATGCGCACGACAGACTATCAACCGATCGTCTCCAGGATAAAACAACTCCTCTCAATACTCGCGGTTTTGTGCGAAAACCGGAGCTCTCTGAACACTCTCTCTATTGTGCTTATGCTCGTTGTGATGTGTTTAGAGGGGCTGGGGAGACGCCTATTTATAGGAGCCGAACCCCTAGGAATATACCCTCTTGCTTGGGGAATAAGTCGGATTAATTAAGGAAGATAATTACTTCCTTAATTAAAATTGTCGGTTAAGATAAATCCTGCGGGATTATCCTTCGACCGACCGACCGGTCGGTCGGGCGGATAGACGGCGCGCGCGCGTGTGTGTGGTGGTCTGTTAGGTCCTCCCTCTCCCACAAAAGTGGGTCACCCCAAGGGGCATTGCCATTAGGAGAGAGGCTCCTATCTTTATACACATTTCACCAAGTAAAACTACCAATGTGGTAGTTTTTCCACTTGAGACTCTATAGCTTTCAAAGCTATTCATATATACATTTCCAACAATCCCCCACTTGAATAGTTTTGAAACTATCTCTGAGCATTCCATAAGATCGGGCATAAGCTAAGGTATCGCGAAGATTTGAACCTTAGTGTAGTGGTTACACTTCCGATTTCATAAGGGTGACTCGTAGTCTTGAACCCTATCTCAGACAGTGTAGCACACCGGATCTTTTCATTGAGTTGTGTTCTCTTCTTAGCCTGTGCGTTTATGGCCATGCACGTTATCCTGGTTTAGTGAACGCTCTAGCAACTTTGTGCCTCCAAAGTTCCATAGGGAGCGGCCCCACTCCCACATTCACATAGGTGAGTCTATCAGGAGTACCCCCAAAGTAAAGTACTCCACCCCACATAGGGTATAGATCTCATTAAGAGTTATTAACTCAACCTCCATTGCTTTGGGATTCATGCTTCACTATGCATGAACTTTTCGCATACTACTCATGACTTGTTATTACCCATTGAACCCATTTCTTGGGATCTCCAGTCTATTGGGTCGGGTTACCATCACTTGTAGTCCGTGGTTCGGTAGGCATAAGTCCCATACCCTTGGCGGTATTTTAGACTTTCTCTCTAGGTAATCCTTTCGTCAAAGGATCAGCTAGATTCTGTTTGGATCTTATATGATCCACCCTCACTGCTCCTATCGTTAGGAGTTCTCTAACAGTACTGTGCTTACGGCAAATTTGTCGTTTCTTTCCGTTATAGAACCGGTTCTCAACTTTAGCGATAGTTGCGGTACTATCACAATGGATCAATACTGGAGGGACCGGCCTTTCCCATAGGGGAATCTCTGAAAACAATCCTCTCAATCAACTTTCTTCTTCACTAGCCGTTGCTAGTGCTATCATCTCTGATTCCATAGTTGATTGAGCTATGATTGTTTGTTTCTTTGACTTCCAAGACACAGCTCCACCAGCGATGTTAAAAACATACCCGCTGGTTGCCTTGGAGTCATCTGATAGGGTATTCCAATCTGCATCACTATACCCTTCTAGTACAGCAGGAAACCTTTGATAGTGTATACCAAGGTTTGCTGTTCTCTTGAGGTATCTCATGACCCTCTCTATAGCATTCCAATGCTCTCTACTAGGACAGCTGTTAAACCTGCCAAGCAATTAGGGGTGTTCAAATGGTTACCATGGTTATAACCAAACCAAATAAGGCTAAATTCCATTAACCATGGAATACAATATCATAACCAAACCGTCCAAACTAATACAACAACAAACCAAACTAAAGTTTAATCGGTTTGGTTAATTGGTTAACCAGATTAACCAATATAAAATCACATTATCATTGATGATGAAAATTTTCCGGTTAATGCAACAATTCGCAATTTATATAATGAATAAAACATAACAATCAACAGGTAGTTATAGTTGACCCTTAACAAAAATACATGCAACTAAGACAATTATCTTACGATTAGTATAGAAGTATTCACCTAACAAAAATCTATGACAATAGTATGGGTTAATGAATTGTTGTGTTTGTGTAAATTGACTTAGTCTCTTAGCAATTATCATAGGCTGGAAATGACCTTCCTTTCAAGTTTTCATCCATCATAATGTATGAAATTTATCTAAATTAGGCGTCCATATGTTGTGGTCTACACTTTACATATACAAATATACACTATATGAGCAATATTGAGCTTTATATTTTATGAGTCTAAAAGGGATGAACGTTAACTCTTGAGTGGTTATGCAAAGTATTAAGTATGTGTATATAATATATGTTAGATATATGATTAATTAATTAACTGGTTAATTTGGTTTGACTGGTTAGGAGTGTCTGAAACCAAACCACCTAAACCAAACAAGCTAAAAACTTTAACCAAACCAAACCAAATTATCCAAATAGTACCGGTTAAAACGGTTACCACGGTAACCAAATCGTTTGAACACCCCTACAAGCAATCCCACGACATATGCAATGTCTGGTCAAGTGTAATCCGCAGCATAACGGAGACTGCCAATGATGCTAGCATATTCTGATTGTCTTACACTGTCTCTAGTGTTCTTAAATAGCTTTACACTAGCATCATACGGAGTACACGCAGGTTTACAGTCGAAATAGTTACATTTCTTCAAGATATTCTCTATGTAGCTAGATTGATATAGAGAATAACCATTTGGTGTTCTGGTTATCTGGATTCCAAGCATAAACTTTGCTTCTCCCAGATCTTTTACCTCAAAGCTCTCTTTCAACATGGCTTTTGCTTCATTGACCACGTAAATATTTGTACCAAATATCAACATGTCATCTACATACAAACATATGATAGTGCAAGTGTTATTTTCTGACTTGTAGTAAATACACTTGTCACTTTCATTCACCTGAAAGCCATGTGAGAGAACGAGAGTGTCAAACTTCTCATGTCACTGTTTTGGAGCCTGTTTCAAACCATATAATGATTTGTCTAACTAACAGACAAACCATATAATGATTTGTCTAACTTACAGACTTTCGAGGCGTGTTCGGGGATAACAAACCCTTCTGGTTGTTCCATATAGATTTCTTCATCCAGATCACCATTCAAAAAAGCGGTCTTAACATCCATTTGGTGTACCACGAGATTGTTCAAGGCAGCAAGAGCAATCATAACAAGAATGGATGTTATTCTTGATACTGGTGAACAGGTATCAAAGAAATCTATATTCTCTCTCTGCCTGTAGCCCTTAACTACTAGGCGAGCTCGGAACCTTTCGATTGCACCATCAGGTTTCTGTTTCGTTTTTAGAACCCATTTATTACCTAAGACTTTGCACCCAGGAGGTAAGTCTGTTAGATGCCAAGTCTTATTAGCTTCTAATGATTCCATTTCATCTATAACGGCCTCATTCCAAAAATCTGAATCTATGGAAGTTAATGCTTCCTGGAAACTTTTTGGATCTTCGAGGGTGTATACTGTAGTAAAGTCATCACCAAAATCTTTCAAGATTCTAGCTCTTTTACTTCTTCTGAGTTCATCCTCAGAACCAACACCCCCACTAGTTCTGTTATCTCTAATAGCGGGTAGTACATTACCTCCACTATTTCTCGTTTTAAATGGAAATCGTGTCTCAAAGAAATCAGCATCAATGGATTCTATTATAGTACGAGCATTCAAATCATAGAATCTATATGCCTTACTATTGGCCGCATAGCCAACGAAGACACATTCATATGCTCGACTAGCCAACTTAATCCTCTTAGGATCCGAAATTCTTACGTAGGCCAAACAGCCCCACGTTCTTAAATAGGACAGATTAGGTGGCTTATTCTTCAAGATCTCATAGGGTGATTCTTTTCTATTTGTTTTTGGAAGACGATTTAGCACATAGCAAACCGTCAACAAAATATCACCCCACCAAGAAGAAGCAGCTCCATAATTGAGCATAATAGCGACAACTAATTCTGTAAACGTCCTATTTTTCCGCTTAGCTTTACCATTCATTTCTGGTGAATATGGTGCCGTGGTTTCATGAATGATACCATGTGAGCTATAGAATTCCTTGAAGGGATTAGAGTCATACTCTGATCCTCTATCACTCCTATGTCTTTTTATCTTTCGATTGCACTGATTTTCAAATTCAATCACAAATACCTTGAACCTATCAAGGGCTTGACTTTTGTTTTTCATCAAATAAACAAAGCAATAATCAGAGCAATCATCTATGAAAGTGATAAAGTATCTCTTGCCAGACCTAGTTAACGTCCCATCTAGTTCTCAAATATCAGAATGAATCAGATCTAAGGGTTCTGATTCTCTACTCACAGATTTATGGGGCGTTTTCGTTATTTTAGCTTGGCTATAGAAATCACATTTATCAAATTTATTCATTGAGAGTTTAGGGATATGTCCTAACTTGCTTAAATTCTTCACAATTCGTGTGTTCACATAACAAAGATGAGCATGCCAAACATTCAAATTACACACCATGTAAACTGAAGAATTCATCTCATTAATTTCGACATTCAACTTGAAGATCCCATCACATGCATATCCCTTTCCCACAAAACTCTCATTCTTAGTAAGGGTATACAAGTCTGCCCCAATAGATTGATTAAACCCAGCCTTATTAAGAAGATATCCTGAAGCAAGATTCTTCCTTATCTCTGGAGTGTGCAACACATCCTTGAGCACCATCTTCTTCCCAGAGGTGAAGTTCAGCTCCACTTCACCAGAACCAGCAACCATAGTGGTGTGAGTAGTCCCCAACAACGCTTTCTTGTCAGCAGGTGCTTCTGTGTATGTTTTAAACATAGCACGATTGTTGCATACATGCTTCGATGCACCTATATCCTGCCACCATCCTTCTGAGTCACCGATGAGGTTAACTTCAGTGATCATATCTGTGATCATGGCTACCAAATCCTCTTCTGTCAAGTTAACCCTGGCCGCAGCTGCGGGGTTTTGCTTGTTCCTGCACTTTTTTGCCATATGACCCGGTTTTCCGCAGTTATAGCAGATAAACGGTGGGTCATTCTTAGACTAACTCCAACCCTAGAGCTAAAAAGCCATTTACCCATTTTTAGCTCTTTTTTTGTGCTCCAACCCACATTATTTTGGGAGCTAAAAATGGGTATTGGTGAATTGGGAGCCAAATTTAGCTTCCAAAAAGGTGAAAAAGCCAAATTTGGCTAGAGGAAATGGTGGACCCGCGGTGGGTCCTCTTTTATTTTTTTGTTTTTTATTTTTTCTGTGGGATTTTGTCATTGGTTGATTGTGTTGTTTTTTCTTTTTGCTTTTTTTGTGTGGTATTTTGTCATTGGTTGATTGTGTATGTTGTTTGTTTAATTGTTTGAAAGAAGATATGAAATGTTATATGTTTAATTGTTATTTTTTCATTGGTCCCGAAGTTAACGGTAACAAAATAATGACTAATTTTCCGAACTTTTTTTGTCTCGGAATTAAAAAAAATTATATTGAAAATTTTGTTTTCAAAAGTAATAACTAACTATAGAAAATTAAAGTGAAATATGAAAATTAGAGGTCAAATAAGTATGCTTTATTGTAATAAATTGAAAAAAGGTAGGTAGGAAGCTAAATTTAGCATTGTGTAGGGTTGAAGTGAAAATGGGGTTTGGGGAGCTAAAAAGCCATATTTGGCTACTTGGGGAGCCAAATTTGACTTTACGGGTTGAAGTTAGTCTTAGAGGTTTGGGCTATGACGCTTTGGTTACCTCGAGAGGCACCATTCTGGTGGGGGCAGACCTGCTGGTTCTTACTCTTAAACCCTTTCTGGTTAGGTTTAAGAGCTCTAGGGGTGGGTCGTTTAGCAATGACGACCATCACCTCTTCTTTCATATTGTTCTTGCGGGACTCTTCCTCAATCCTTAGGCGAGTAATCAAACTTTCCTGTGAAAATTCTTTGGTTTTATGTCTAAGCATATTCTTAAAATCTTTCCACGAAGGGGGAAGCTTATCAATAATGCAAGCAACTTGAAATTGATCGTCCAGAGGCATACCTTCAGAGACGATCTCATGAGCTATTTCTGAAGTTCGTGGGACTGAACTTCGACAGACTTGTCATCCACCATCTGGTAGCGCAGGTAGCGGCTGACAACATACTTCTTAGCCCCAGCCTCCTCCGTGTCGTACTTCTTTTGGAGCGCATTCCATATCATCATCGCGGTGTTCTTGTTGTCCGCATAGTAGTCGTAGAGATCTTCTGCCATGCCGCTGAGGATGTAGTTCTTGCACAGGAAGTCATGCTCCCTTTCCTTAGCAGAAACAACCCTCTCCTCATCGGTCGCTTCTTCCGGCAGCTCGACAGGCATGCTGGTGAGGCAGTGTGCCAACTTTTTGGTCGTCAGGTAGAACTCAATCTTTTGTCTCCAGCGACGGAAGTTGACCCCAACGAAGCGAAAGGGTCGTTTGATATCGACAGCACCAGATTCGGCCATGTTGTTCTGTTCAGTCGACATAGCAGCAGCCGAACGTCTTAAAATTGTTAGGAAAGGAACAACAACAAGAACGAGGTTACCGAATCTGGAGCTGAGTCGCGGACTAGGTCGCTCTCTTTAAGACGTTCGCGGCACTGCCTTCGATGTGCATAGCAGACTATCAACCGGTCGTCTCCAGGATAAAACAGCTCCTCTCAATACTCGCGGTTTTGTGCGAAAACCGGAGCTCTCTGAACACTCTCTCTATTGTGTTTATGCTCGTTGTGATGTGTTTAGAGGGGCTGGGGAGGCGGCTATTTATAGGAGCCGAACCCCTAGGAATATACCCTCTTGCTTGGGGAATAAGTCGGATTAATTAATGAAGATAATTATTTCCTTAATTAAAACCCTCGGTTAAGATAAATCCTACGGGATTATCCTTCGAATATTCCTTTTTAATCGATTGTCCTTAGAATATTCCTCAGAATAACCGATTAATAATTAATTATTAGATAATTAATTTCGTTCGGAATTTCTCCAAAAAATATATATATAGTCTCAAGTGAACCGACCGGCCGGCCGGTCGGACAGATGAACGGCGCGCGCGTGTTGGTCCGTTAGGTCCTCCCTCTCACACAAAAGTGGGTCACCCCAAGGGGCATGCCCTTAGTAGAGAGGCTCATATATTTATACACATTTCACCAAGGAAAACTACCAATGTGGTAGTTTTTACACTTGAAACTCTATAGCTTTCAAAGCTATTCATATATAGATTTCCAACAAAATTTGACGACCTCTGTCGTTCTCCCGAGCCTCGTAGCAATCCGCCGCACAGTTCTAGTCCTCGCCGACTAACGCCGCATCTTCACTGTGATGTTCTCACACCGCAAGGGTAAGGGAATCCGTTCTCACGAGTCCCGCCGCAAGGGCGGCTTTTCTATTGGAAGAGAGAGCAAGGGTGGCAGGGAAAGGAAGGGAATTTGTTTCCAAGGGGAAATAAGTTTGGCTGTTTGGCGTGTGGTAATGGTTTTGATGGGGGTTTTAGGGTTAGTCTTTTTAATTTAATTTTAAGTATTTTTTTATTGGGAAGGAGGCGCTAAAGGCACGCCAGGTTACAATTGAAATTGAAAGAAATAAAACCCCCAACTCCCCAATTACTGTAGCACAAGACCGCTTTCACTGTGGCTTTAGACTCATTTTTACTGTTGTATCTTGGCGTGAGCTCGGATGTGGGTGTGTGTATATGTTCTCTACTTGGTTTTGGATGGTTTATTTTGATTTGGACTATTGCTGGGAATTTGAGCTGGAGGAAGAAACTCCTCCTGGTCGTGTTGAGAGCATAGAGAATAAAAAAGTTCTCTTTCGGGTTGTCTTTCCTCGCGTTGATCACGCGGAGGCATTTTATTCCCACTAGCCTTCTTTTTAGCTTTTGGGGATCTTGGGGGCTGGAGTAGATATTTTTGCGAGTTTTGAGGCTGTTGTATTGGCTGTGTCAGGTAACGCGAGTCTCTATGCCTTGGTCGCAGAGCCAGAGAGCCATTTATGAAGCCGGAAGTTTTGGGGGATTCGTCTGTTGGCCAGGGAGTTTTCTGATAATGACCTTGGGAAACCGCCACCATTCACTGTCTTGTCCTCCCTCCTCTACCACATATTTCACCTAACTCCATACTTTGCCCTTCTACCTTCATCTCTCCGCTCTGCATTCTCGACAGGGGAGAGACAGAAATGGGCTCTAATCTCTCTCCCTCCCTCTCTCTCCAGCACATATTGTACCTGTGACCAGTTTTCTCTGCTCTCCATTTTCCTTTTCTTGCGAGTTACGATCTCTCTTCCCATCCAATTCTAGATGCTCTTCTTCCTCTTCGCATCTTTCAAGTAATTTGTTGTTGGAAATAGCGACTAAACTGTGAGGATTGTTCAAGGCTCTCTCATAGATGAGATTTAGTCGATGAAAGGGTATCTAAGCTGAGAGGGAACCGGAATATGCGATGGCATTTGTTGAAAGTAGTTGTTGCATATGTGAATGGAGGAATATGTAAATAGGATTCGAGAAGATCGATGTTAACAGACTAAAAGAGGATCTAGGTGCTTTGCATCTTTCCTCCGGCGCATTCACCATCTCATCCCTCAGGGTTCTGGTATTTCTCGGTAACTCTTTGTTCCTCTGTTTCTTCTATGTGAGCCCCTTTCAGATTCTTTTGTTTTTTTTTTTTGTTCCAGGGAATATCTGGGAAGATGAGTAGAGCTCAAAGTGATGAAGTGGCTGGTTTGAGAGATGGAGAGAAGATTCGTAGGAAACCCAGATCCGAAGGTTGTGCTTTTTTTCTTTTCTTCTGGTGGTTGTTCCTTCTTTTTGTTTCTTACTCATAGGGTTTTGTTTTGTCACTTTAAATTCAGGCGACTGTTCTCTCTGCTTCTCGAGGGAGTTTGTTCACTATTCAATGTAAGTTTGCTTTTCACCTAGGTTTCTTCATTCTCTTTGTTTAGCAAGGCTTTGGTGTATGAGGATTGTGGGTGTTCTGTTCTTTTCTCTCTCCAGGTTATCTGTTCTTAATGGTCTGGTTTGCTTCTTTTTTCTCTCTCCAGGTTATCTGTTCTTTTCTTTGAACAAGATTGTATCTCTTGCATCGTTGAATTGAATGGGTGTTCTGAGTTGGATGCTTCTGAACAAAGAAAAATGTTGACAATTCATAGAGCTATTTTCCATTTCCAGTTGAGGACCCAAATTATTTAACAAGAGGATAACAGACACTTTTCTATGGAGTTTCAGCACTATGAACCTTTGTCTACAATTTCAAACCCAGTATTGTCAATGAAGATATCAATATTATGATTTAATCATGCCGACTTAGTTGTTCATTTCTTCTTTGTTTGTGAGTGTAGGTTTATTGTCTAGGTGTTAGCAATGAACTGTGTTTTGTAAGGTGAAGAATACTGGCCAAATTGTGTATTGTCTAGGTTGTTATCAAATCGATGATGTCAGTAGATTAACCAGAAATTGGTATGTCAACACGTAGATCAAGCTGCATTTGCTATCTAAACTTGATTTATCCAAAGTTGTGATTTACCAAATGTTGCACTATAGAAACATGTTTATGCACAAATAACTCTCGACTTCCAGTGTTTTTGAATCAATGAATCCATGTGTGAAACTTCTATCACTTACCACTAATGCAAATCAATAATAACTTCGACTGACTTTTGTATGTGTTATTAGTCTTGGCGCGAAGCGTGGGCTTTAAGAACTAGTACTTGATAAAACACCCAGGCTGACAGCCATCCAATATGATTATATATTCAAAATTATGATATAGTACGTTAAATTAATCCTAGCCATCCAATATGATTATATATTCAAAATTATGATATAGTACGTTAAATTAATCCTACTTAACATAATTTGTAGGAGTACACAATATTTTTTTATATATGTCCGGGTTAATTCGGGCTAAACCGAGCTATATTGGTTGACCAATTAATCATTTACCCACTACTTCAACCGGACCAACGGGCTAAACCGGGTTGACAACCTTACCCATCCCTCATCCATAAACGTGGATGAGTCCCACATATTGGGCTGCTTTCGTTTTTTGTAATTTCGCCAAAAAATTCAAATTATTTTCATACCATACCAGAATAAGAATTGATCTGTCATCTTGTACTGTCGTCTGCTGCTATCTAACTCCATCGGTCTATCCCCTGCTCTTTTTTACTTCTGGGTTTTTTGGGTCACTTTTAACTCTTCGACCTAATCAGAGAACTCTTCTAGTTGTTAAAAGAGTTTATATTTTATTGTAGAAATTCTTTTTCGCATCACACTTCGTTTGGCAACGAGGGTACAAATTTCAGTGGGTGCAAATCATAGGAGGAAGCAAATTATAAGGGTGCAAATTGAAGTGCCAATTATTGTTTGGAAGAAAAAGTAGAAGAGTGCAACGTGATGTAAAATATAAGTTTTAATAAAATAATAATTATTAAGTTAGTTAGATTCTTGGATTCAGAAATCATTTCAACAATAATAGACCAAAAAAATATTTTTATTTGTTGATTCCTATTTCCTACAACAACAAAAATCAAGAAATAACTATATGTGATTTCATCTACAGAAAGAATGAACGTAAAACTATAATATCGACCAATATGAATTATCGCAAGATTACTCAAGGAAATTACCCCACTACAGAGTCGAGACTATGAAATCCAAGACAAACTTAGATTGTAAGGAGGACAAAAATATTAATAGGAAAACGATTAATTAAGACAGAAAAGAAAATAGTAAAGAGACATTTCTTAATTCATCTTATAAAATGAGTATCAAGGCCTAGTTGTTTCATTCATAATATGAGGGTAGTTTATGGATGATGGCTCTTTCATAACGCATTAAAGCTTGTTCATATGTTGTATTTGTATAAATCGTTTTGAAAATTTGTCATACAACTCACAATAACATTGTCGAAAAGGATGGCAACGGTCGGGTAGGGACGGATAGTGCATATTCATTATCCTACCCGGAGTTTGGCGACAAGTTCGCCTACCAGAGTGACAACCCGATTGGGCCTCACTAGAGGCTGACCTGGACATGTTTAACTTGTTCTGGTGCCGAGCTGCCATGACTGGGGTACTCTCCCATCCCTAGTGGCGCCAGCTCTTGACCATGGACGAGGAGATCTTCCATGAGCTGTGTGTGGAGTTCTACTCCACCTTCTCCCACATCATCCCGGCATGCAAGAAGAGCCGGCCACGGGTGGAGTTTATGCTGGGCGGTCAGTGACACGCTAAAACACAACACCAAACTGCGACCAAGTGTAATCGCAGTCCGGAAATGTAGTAAAGTGGCAAGTTCTAATTATCAACCCGGGGTCTAGATCTACTGCCTACTCCGTGAATATCTATTATCTAGCCAACTAAGTCGATTGATTGTGGTTTTAACTAAAAGCAGTAAGAAAGCAGGAAATTGTTCGGTTTTCTAAAGCAAAGGAAGAGTCACTCGGGAATGAGTCCCCCTAGCTCCTTAGTTAGGTCTCAATTGTAATTACCCTGGGTTGATTTACTGTTGATTAAACTGCGGAAGATCCGACAGTAGCTTGGAATCTCTTAAACTGACCAAACCCTCTCAGTCCAACTACCCGGCAGACGACTAGTCTTCACCGGGATAGAAAGCTGAGGCAATAAGCACATAACTCCACTACTGGAATTGGGTTCCAGTACAAAGTAGTAGATTGATTAACTCTCGTATAACCAATCTACCACTACCATATGATAAAGCTCTAACAACCTAATCAGATTCTATCTATCTCAGGTTGCAGCAGAAATCAAGAAAAGATGATCAGACTTCAATTGACTCAATGAATCATGCATCATTCGATTAAAACCAAACATTATAACAATCCCAAATAATTACAATCAAGATCCCTAACACATGGAACTAGGGTTCTTCATACCCAAGTGAGAGAAGGTTCTACTCCATAGAGAGAGAGGGAAACAAAATACAAAGCAGTCATACTCATAACAATGGGAAGAATCTGCTATGGGATGATGATCTCCACTCCAAGGATGATTTCCAAGCTTGATTGATGAAGCCTCCTGATAACAAGATGCTGGGAGAGTTCGAGTTGACGGGTATCCCACCAGCACCAAGGGAATTGCATCAAATTGAGGTGGCCTTCGATATCGACGCAAATGGTATTGTAACAGTATCGGCTAAGGATAAGGCAACCGGGAAGGAGTAACAGATCACCATCAGGTCATCAGGAGGCTTGTCGAAGGACGAGATTGAGAAGATGGTGAGGGAGGCAGAGCAGTTCGCTCAGAAAGATCAAGAGAGGAAGGAGTTGATCTACGTAAGAAACTCGGCAGATACCACCACCTACAGCATCGAGAAGAGCCTGAACGAGTACCGAGACAAGGTCCCCTCCCAAGTGGTCAAGGAAATTGAAGCTGTTGTTGCTGATCTGAGGGCAGCATTGTCAGGAGACAATGTCGACGAGATCAAATCCAAAATCGACGTCACGAACAAGGCTCTGTCGAAGATCGGGGAGCATATCTCCAAGGGCTCGGGCGGTGGCGACCAGACCTCGGAGGCAGAGTACGAGGAAGTGAAGAAGTGAGCAGAGAAAGGCTGAGTGGAGGGCTAATTTTAGGGAGGTAGGGCAACTTACGTGAAGAGTTGTGTGTTGAATTGGTTCTGCTATCCTACCGCGCATATGTAATAGTCAGAAGAGCTTTTGAGTAGGAAATCTTGTTTTTGTGTTGAGGTTGAGCCTCCAGCTTTGGTTCATCAGTAGCCCAAAATTGTTGGAGCTGTAGTTCCGTCCATATTTGTTTGAGATCGAGTTGGTTGCAATGGCTAAGCTAGACCTAGTTCAGCGTCCCGAGTTTTTGTGAAGCAACTAGATGGACGAAATATTAATTATTGAAAGTATAAGAGCACAATACATCTGGTACTGTACATATAATACGTCCCGAGTTTTTACTGTTCATAAAATGCAAAGACAAACGGTCGTGGGATTAAAAAGATTGAGAAAGAGAGTCATAATCTAGAAGTTGTCTACTAATGGTGCTAACAGACTGAGAATGCCTTTCTGGCGGGAGTCTCGGAGATGAATGATGCATCGAATCTGAGAGAAGAGATTCAGTATGAAAAACTTATATTCTCAATCTTTTCAATTTCATATATGATTTGAGCTTTTTGCATGCTGTGTTGTTAGGTTATGAAGAGCTTAAGCTGTGATTTTTCAGCATTCCAGGGGGTTGGTTGGGTTCCAGTGAGACAACTGGCGGATTTAAATAGATTTAGAGGGGCTTTGGAACTTCAAATTATCTCTCTCGCATTCATCAGTACTTTGTGTATATGTATTTTCTTTCCTTTTTCTTTTAATCTTATAAGCACCCGGATTGTGGGCATAATCGTCTGTTTGGTGTGACAGGTGAAGCAGAGGCTACAATTGTCGGCACTTGGAGCTGATTCCGTCCCATAGTTCCCAAGCTTTCCCCTAAATCTCTGTTAGTCTCCACTCTATACATTTGCATTTATTCATCTTTCTGTGAGGTCTTTCTATTTCTACATTTGTTTGAAAATTTTACCGAGTTGGTTGTGGGTTGTGGTTTACGACTTCACTAGAAAGAGATATTTTTGAAACCGAACAATCAAGGCCAGTATCCTGTGGAATCTCCACAGTAGTTCTCTCTGTCTGGTCATTGTTTTTATTGAACACTGTTGATTCTTTTGACAGTTGCATGGAGAACCTCCAGTTCCGAGTCCCTGGAATTGTCATTGTTGTCTCAGTGCAATTAGTCTCTGCTGTTTGTGTTTAAAGCGTTTCAGTTTCCCTTCCATGTTGATGATGCCCATTAATTTCCGTCTCATTTCATAAACCATGCGACTGTGATGCAGTCAGTGCGTGCATTAGGCATTTTACTTTGTTTGTATTCATGACGATGCGTTTACCAAGTAGTGGCAGCCTGGCAGGGTGAGGTGGTGATTTTTATCTTCCCGGGAAAGAGACACAACTATATCTGTGAGATTTGAGGAGAAGATGGCAAACAAATGCTCTTGCGGTACCTTGGCGAAGTGATTGTAGGGTGTACATAAATCCGAGTATTATGTGTTTCAATTTTACTATGCTCCTCAAAGTTTGTCAAATTATTATTGAGACAAAGAATCAATTGTCTTTCTGTAATGGTTTAATTTATTGTTTTTTTCGCCTTAGTAGTTAGTAGACAACAATACTATGGATGTAAGTTTTCTGTTTGATCCATTTTACTTAATAGATTGTTTTTCCCTTCGGCACTTTTTAATTCTGGAAATTTCATGTGATATAATAGGGTATGATATAAAAGGCTCACCCTTGGATCAACCTTACTTCTTTCTTCGTTGCTTAAAAACTTAGAAAGATATGGTTGCTTACATTATAAGTGGAAGTTTACCTATGCTTTATGTTTCAAACATAATAGATTTATGATTAGCATTTGTTAGAAATTCCATTATCTTCGTGAATTCCGATGATCAACACTTATTAAATCACAAATTTTCACTCATCCCGACGCAGAACACGGGTAAAAATACTAGTTAACATAAGAACCAGAATCAACCAATTCTCTGTTCCAATTGCTCTGGAACTACCACTCAAAGGTAACATATTCGCATGAATAGAATACCTCCAAACGCAACCCATACACTCTACAGAAAAGACCTAACATCTGAAGAGTAAACGTGACATCTGAAGCAATCTGGTGGTTCCAATCTACAGAATCTAGCAACGTAAGTGAGCATTGAACTTTATCGAAAACTCAAATGCAAACACCTAGTTTAGGTCTCAACCGGGAAGACTATCCATAAGCTATCCACATGAGCGTTTTAGCCTCAAATTCACGTATCTTTCTTGAAACAATATTATGAACATGCTGTCGTATTACGAGGCCTGCGAACATTGTAAACATGTACGTTCTTGCCATTAAGGCGCAGAGAGAGATACCAATGTTTAACTTGCACACCAATTTAGTACTTCACAGAGGAAACTGACCTAACCTATAAAGCTCCAAGATTTGGTAGTGGAAACAATGCTAAAGGCTGTCAGCTTTTTCATCTTCTTCAGTCCACTTCACTTCTCCTTGGCAATCTGAAACACAAACTAAAATGAAGCAAACTACCACTGCAGAAAATTTGGCTACTGATGTAATAAGCAGGAGGGTCAAAACCCTCCACAAGGAAGTTTATAAAATGAACAGAAACTAGACTTCCTCAGCGTGCAAAAAATATAGCCACTTCTCATCAGCATTACACAACCAACTAACATAACAAACCAAAATGAATATAGGCGAATGGAATTAACGCAGAATTCTCATTTTATGCATGTGCCGCCATATCTCCCCGGTAAGAGTAAGTGGAACTTCTCCTACAACTAATCAGACCGAGTCCTTCACTTCTTCACCTCCTCATATTCTGCCTCGGGGGCCTGGTCACCGCCGCTGCCACCTTGAGCACCGCCTGAAGAACCGTCGCTGCCTCCACCTGAAGAGCCCTTGGACATGTGCTCCCCAATCTTGGACAAAGCCTTGTTTGCGACATCGATTTTGGACTTGATCTCGTCAACATTGTCACCAGATAATGACGCCCTCAAATCAGCAACAGCGTCTTCGATTTCTTTGACCACTTCAGAGGGAACCTTGTCCTTGTACTCGTTCAGACTCTTCTCGATGCTGTAGGCGGTGGTATCTGCAGAGTTTCTTACATCGATGAGGGCCTTCCTCTCCTGATCCTTCTGAGCAAACTGCTCAGCCTCCCTAACCATCTTCTCAATCTCGTCCTCTGATAAGCCTCCCGATGATCTGATGGTGATCTGTTGCTCCTTTCCGGTGGCCTTGTCCTTTGCAGATACTGTTACAATGCCGTTTGCGTCGATATCGAAGGCCACCTCAATTTGAGGCAATCCCCTTGGTGCTGGTGGAATACCCGTCAAATCGAACTCTCCCAGCATCTTGTTGTCGGATGCCATCTCCCGCTCACCTTGGAGGACCTTGATCCCGACTTGAGTCTGATTGTCAGCAGCGGTTGAGAACACCTGGAGAAAGTCCAAACCACAGCAAAAATATAAGCTGATGAACCATATTGCTGGATGAAACTTCAATAATAACTACTTAAACAAGTGAGAATCTGACCTGGCTCTTCTTGGTAGGAATGGTGGTGTTCCTGCTAATCAGACGAGTGAAGATGCCACCCAATGTCTCAATACCAAGAGACAGAGGTGTGACGTCCAAGAGAAGCAACTCTTTCACATCTCCCCTGAGAATGCCACCCTGAATAGCAGCTCCCATGGCAACTGCTTCATCTGGGTTGACTCCCTTACTAGGACTCTTCCCAAATATGTTGGAAACTATTTCCTGAACCTTAGGTACGCGGGTCATGCCCCCTACAAGCAGCACCTCATCAACATCCTTAGTTGCTACACCAGCATCCTTCAAGCAGTTCTTGCATGGCTCCTTGGTCCTTTCAATCAAGTGATTAACCAGGCTCTCAAACTTTGAGCGGGTCAATGTAATATTCAGATGTTTTGCACCCGAGGCGTCTGCAGTGATAAATGGCAAGTTTATGTCAGTTTGACTTGTCGATGACAGCTCAATCTTGGCCTTCTCAGCTGCCTCTCGGAGCCTCTGCAGGGCAAGTCTGTCCTTGGTAAGGTCAATACTCTCCGTCTTCTTGAACTCACTCACCAAGTAATCCAACAGAGCATTGTCAAAATCCTCCCCTCCCAAGAAAGTGTCACCATTGGTTGCTTTGACCTGCATGGAACAGAACTTCTCAATATAAGGATATACACAGACTTCGGTGGTGCTAAATCATGATGAATTGAGCACAATTGCTTACCTCGAAAACACCACTCGAGATCTCCAAAATGGAGACATCAAATGTTCCACCTCCAAGGTCAAACACAGCAATAAGCCCTTCCTTGTTGTTCATTCCATAGGAAAGTGCAGCAGCAGTAGGCTCATTGATAATCCTCTGTACATCGAGGCCAGCAATTCTTCCTGCATCCTTAGTAGCCTGCCTCTGGGCATCATTGAAATATGCTGGGACCGTCACCACAGCCTTGGAAACCCCCTTTTGGAGGTATGCTTCGGCTGTCTCCTTCATTTTCGTCAAAACAAATGCCCCAATTTGGCTAGGTGAGTACTGCTGCCCATTAGCCTCAACCCAAGCATCACCATTTGGAGCCTTCACTATCTTGTATGGGACCATTTTCATCTCCTTTTGGGTCTGGGGATCATCAAATTTCCTCCCGATCAAACGCTTGGTGCCAAAGACAGTGTTCGTAGGGTTTGTCACAGCCTGTCTCTTCGCTGGAGTTCCGACAAGCAACTCTCCCTTCTGATTGAAGGCAACAACCGAAGGCGTTGTCCTCGCTCCTTCAGCATTCTCAATGACTTTGGGTGTCTGCAAAGCAACAGAATTCGCAATCACAAACCAGATCAGAATCAGACCACAAGAAAAGGCACCAGTCACATGAGAACCGACAAACAGTACAAATCACTGTTTTACCTTCCCTTCCATGACCGCCACACAAGAGTTGGTCGTCCCCAAATCGATCCCGATGACATCATTTCCAGCAGGATTTGAACTGTAAGCCAACAATCGGAATATCGTTCAGCAACAAAGCGTACACAACAAAAATTGCATTAAGCTAAATGGCGTGACGAATCGACAGAGATGACAATACCTGAACCCTTTAGACAAAGACCACGACGGCCTCAAGCTACCAGCAGCGGCCTGCGCAAGAACAAAGCCAACGGAAACTAATCAACACCCGAACAAAGCCTAAACCCTAGTGCATCCACTCCGTATAATAATTCAATGTCGATCCAGAAGGGAAAAAATCTGAAGCTTCTCATTCAAATCCGAGCAAAATCACCGGCAATCGGAATAATTCACATCTAGGAATTGACGAAAGTTATTAAGCTGCAAAGAGAACATACCGATCTGTAGCCAGAGAGGTGAGCAGCGGCGGTGGCTCCTCGAAGGGAGCGACGAAGGAGAGCGCCTACTGCCATGGAGGCGACGGAGGAAGAAGGGCTGCGGCGGAGGGTTTAGGGTTTAAGAGGGAGACGAAAATGGGTATTTCTGAAGGTGGAGGAGGGTGTTTCGAGTTCGGCCGCAAATTTTTATACCGGACTGCGAAAGGGGCTTTTTGTGCAGCTCAAATGTCTGCAAGGAAGGGGTTTTAAGTGTAATTTTGTGAGCCACGGGATTGGATTGAACACTTTCCGTGGAGCCTTCCAGAAGCTACTCGTCTATCTTGTTCTCAATAAACATTTAGGGCCAATGAAAACAATATAATATATAATGACCGGTGTACGTCAGACGTATAGTATATTGCAGGTGATCTAACCGTTAGATGTATTTAGATGAGTTCGGTTGATCTCAACGGTCAATTTTTGTTTTTCATTAAATCAAACTTCGGGTTGGGGTTTAGAAAATCAGTGTCTGGAGTTTATCCATTAGAGGTTAGGCCAAGTCCAATGCAAAACCCCAAATTTGGGGGCCTTCATCTCCAAATTTGGGGATTGATCCCCATTTTCCCTTCTTTTGCTCCAATGTTTCAATCTCCATATTTGGGGATTTTCATTTTTCTAGTTTTTCCATTTACTTAAAAATGTACTTATCGTAGCCTTAATATAATTTATTCATGTTAATATTTGTATAGTTCGTCATCATTTTTAAATACAAATTTTTCAATATAATTTTGTTAAATTCCGAGTCCGAATTTTTTGGCAAAAAATTATGTACCTAATTTGGGTTTATACACAACACTTGAAAATGATTGATATAATTAAATCCCTAACTAATCCCCTAATTAAACTCTCAATTAACCCCTAAAATCTTAAAAAGAAAAAGAAAAGCCACGTGGCGGGCTTTGGTGAGCCTCTATATTTGGGGATCCCCCATTTCCACCCCCAAATTTGGAGTTCCATTTGCAGGATCCTCCATTTTTGGAGGCCCAAACCTCCCCATTGGACCATCTCCTCCTCCATTTTTGCAGATTCCCCCATAAATGGGGTGCCCATTGGACTCAGCCTTAGGGTATAGTATCATACTCCAAACTCGATTTAGTTCTTGGTCTAAATAGAGATATCTCACTAGTAATACCTGACGTATAGTATACCCCCAGGTGCCTTCTACGGTACCCCGGGTGAAATCTGGGGTACCGCATACCTTGAGTATGAAAACACTATTTAGACCTCGAATTCGCAGGATTTTTGGGCATGATACTATACCCTAATCCTTAATGAGTGAACCCTAGGTCCTAATTATCTAAATCATAAACTATAAACTCTAAGATGATGCATTGATTTTTTTGCCTATATTTGGACAAATCAATACCGTCGATTATTGCTTCTAATTAAATTGATCTTGGGGTATAAGATTTAGAGAATTAAGATCTAGATTTTGATCTTTAAGGGCTAGAGTATAGTTTCATGTCCGAAAGACCAGTCAATTCAAGTTCTTGATAGCATTTTCTTACTCAAGGTATGAGGTACCCAGGATTTCACCCTGGGTACCGTAGAACTCCACACACACACATATATATATATATGGATACGACTCGTATGCTCCTCACACATACGATACACCAAGCCTTTACACCGTTGATATAATCTAACGATCATTAATTATAAATTATGATAAAATAAATAAAATAATGACTACTTGCACCCTTAAATAATTATACATGCGATAGTGTCCCCAAACAATATTTATCACTATATTTGATATCGCAATACGTAATTTCATTTAGTCATACTTTTAAACCCCCAAAATTTATTCCATTACTCTACCTATGAAAAGGTCCAACTTTTCTCCAAACCGCCAGATTGTTCTTCTTTAGCTTTTCTTTCATTATAGAATTCCAGATAAAAGATGTAGAAGGCGACAAGCTGTATGAACATCCAACCCATTGAATCCTTTTTTGATTTTTCTCTCTTTCACCTTTTAAAGACATCATCAGCAAATCAGAAAATCCTTTCCAATTTCACAATCATCCAAATTCATCCCAGCCCGTTAATCATCATTAAGCCGTAAATATTTCCCCCCAATTTCACCATCATCAGACCCCCTTCCCAACCTGTCGGCCCATCGTCGATCAATTTATTTGACGGCGATCCACCGTCGTATCCGGAATGAAAATTCGATATGGTTGTTTTGTTTTCTAAGCGAGGTTGAAGGACCGAGGGAAATTTGTCGAATCGAGATCTCGTGCATTGGATAAGGAATTGGAAAGAGTTTATAATTGTTGGCAAAATCGATTGCGATGCGCTTGGATTAACTCTTGCTCGAGCTCTTGATTTGGCGATTTTCAGTCACTCCATTCATCTACGAGCATAAGAAAAACCATAAATCATTGAGTTCTTGCGCATAAGAGAAAGATGGAAGACGGAGGAAATCAACTTAGTGGTGATGTCGCCACGGTAGGAGGGTTTTGATGATTGTGATCTGGGAGAAGGTTTAGGGTTCGTTAAACTGACGATGACCGTTCAAATGGTCACAAATGGCTTCGGGAAGTGGAAAAAAGGGCACCAGACCTTCTTAATGGATTGTGCTTTGGAGAAAGATTATCTATCGGGAACAGGGTGAGAAAGAAATACATAACAAATTTAGATGAATAAAAACTATCAATCATACAAAATTTAGGTAGGTAAATCTATACCCGGAAGAAACATAGTAGTTTAAAACAAAAAGTAATAAGAAAAAATGTTAAATGACTGCATTGTACGTATAAACTTTTTAATGGATGTAGTAAGTAATCATAATTGACAACTAATAATTAATTTCATTAGAAATAATGATTCACGTTGGATTAGATTAACGGTGTAGATAATCTGTCGCACACTATGTGTCAAGAGCATACGAGTGTGACCCATATATATATATGGCAAAGGCTAGCGTACGTCAGTCGTACACTATATGTAAAGGTGAATTTTGAGCCTTGAACTTCTGTAATATGATTATTTCGGTACGTAAATTTTATATTTTTGCAAATTAATACATTAAAATTTTGTTCTGGTCATCTAGGGTGCCAAGTTTTTTATGTGCTATTAATTCAAGTTAAGTCTGTTAACAACTAAACATTACAATAACCAAAGCCAAATTCGCCATTTCAAAAAATGTCATCACACAAATACGGAATGGCTTCTTCATATTGATAGTTTCAATATTTATCGTCTATGTTGAACAATTCGTTTATGTTCGAACTTCTTTTACTTCTACTGTGGATGTTTTAGTTTGTAACGGTGGTCGAACAATTGAGTTTCTATTGTTAAATTGTTGAATAAGTTTTCTAGTGAATAGGTGATGAATGTTGAATTGCCTTTTAAATTAAGTTATTTATGTCATTTTAACTATGATAATGTAGTGTTTGAAAGAGAGTTTTATCATCTGTTTCATTTATCTTGAATGTGTGGGAATGATGAAAGTATGATTTGAAGAAGGAATTGTAATTGTTTGCGAGAATTGTTGAAAGAAAAGCAGTGATTGTTTGATGAACATTCATCTCCTTCTCACATTCCGTAAATAGTCGAAACAACTAGGAATTTATAGACGATCAACTATGGCTGGCGGTGGAGCATATTGTCCAAATCCGTTTCCACCTCCATTTTTTATCTTTGAACTCTCATCTTCCTCGTCTCATGTGTGGAGGTTTTTTTTATCTCCATTCTTACCTCCTTGTTCTCGCATACGTGCGAACAATTTTGATCTTGGACATTGACAAATTCAACTTAAAATCAATATATTTATGTTGAAAAAAGTTAAGACTTTCAGGACTCGAAATTAAATATGCATCGTATGTTATAAACTAACCTTTAAGTGCATGAGAATATAACTTGTTTGAGCAATTAGGCTTAAGAGGTAGCATATATATGTTGAATATATAAACTGCAGTCTGTTGTATGTATATTAGTATGTGGTGAGCTAGGGTTCGACCATAATGTGTATTTGAGAGAAGCTGTAATCTCTGTACCATTATCGATCATCATTAATAAGAGCAGTAGTCGAAGAGTGTTGAAGCGCTTTTGTGGATTAGTCCTGGAAATTCTAGGGATACCACGTAAATCTGTGTCTGATTTCCGTTTCTAATTAAATTCTCTGTTAAGTTAAGTTAACATGGTATCAGAGACCACTGACAATCGAATTTGACAGGCCCTCTGTTCGTCTGAATTCAACCAACTATGCTATCTGGGAATTCCAATTTTGGGTGTTCGTAGAAGGGAGAGGATTATTGGGTATTCTTGATGGAACGCTGCCAAAGCTGGAGGGAACCGCCACTTCCCAAGTCGTCATCACCTGTAACCAGAATGACGCACGTGTTCGATCATGGCTACTTGGCTCGGTAGATCCCTCCACTTGTCTCAATCTCCGTTTGCATCAGACCGTAAATCGTATGTGGCGTCATATCTCTGTCATGTACTCCACCGTCAACGTCGCACGTCAGTTCGGGGTCCATCTTGCTTTGGCGCGTCTGTAACAGGAAGATCACTCGGTCTCTGAATATTTCAATGTCGCACAAGAATTCTGGATGAAGCAAGATCTCCTCCATGCTGCTCTCCGTCCATACGCTATACTAACCGAAGATGCTATTGCTGAGAGAATGCAGACTCGACTTCTGAATTTTATGATGAAGTTGCTCCCAGAATTTGAATCCTTTCGTGCAACTCTGTTGAATCGTGACATACTATAGTTCGACGGAGTGCTGGGCACTCTTGTAAGGAAAGAAACCCGCTTAAGAACTCAAGCGACCATTGATTTGCGTCCTATTGAAGGGCATGCACTTGTTGGATCTGTTGTTGGCCAAAACAATCCTGTATTGGGTCATGAATCCTCTGTATATGCCGTGGATTGCCCTCAGTTTTAGCGGTGTATACCAGTTTCTGATTTGATATGCCACCATTGTCGGGAAAAAGATATTTGCAAAAACATTGTCGTCGACATAATTTTTGTGTATACTGTAAATAAATGGGGAATATTATTCTCGATTGTCGAAAGAAGAAACGCAATGAAACTCGTGACGGGGGTGCTCCCCCAGGATGCAATAACTCAGCCCCTCCTTGGTCTAGAAATGCTGATAGGGCTGCATATGGAGCGTATACGCCTGCGGATGCACCTCGTTGGCGCCCTACTACTCGCAATGACTCCCGCTGGCGCACAAGTGGACGTGGTGAAACTTTAGGAGAAGGAAGCAGCAGCCGTGGCCCAACTGGGGAGAGTGGCAATGCGACTGGTAGTGTGACAGTGCAGACGGTGGAACAAATAGTGAGTGCAGTCAATAGTGCTGCCTTTGCTACTTTGCATGGCACTGGTAAAATTCGAACACCTTGACTTCTCAATTCTGCTTGCTATAACCATATGACTTGCGATTCTAGTGTGCTAAAGGACGTGAACCTGGTCCAAAATATTGATTTGACTATGGCAAATGGTTCTAAATTGGAAGTCAAGGGTATGGGTCATGTGATAGACAAAGGAATATCCTTATGTAATACTCTGCATGTCCATGCTCTTGTGCCTAATTTGTATTCTGTTGGTCAACCAACTGAGCAAGGATGTACTGTGACGTTTATTTCGTCTGGATGTTTTATACATGATTCGAAGACGGGGGAGTCTGATTGGAAGGGGGAGTAAGCAAGGGCGTATCTTTCATCTGGAAGAACTACATGGGCATTCGGTCTCTCCTGTTGTTCGCGGCCACTTGGTTAGGTCTGTCAGTAGTCCTTCATCATCTTTGTTGTCAAATTCTAGTCTAGCAGTTTCGAGTTAGTCAAATAAGTAGTGAGATTTGTGGCAAGCTCGATTGGGGCATCCCCACTCTGATCGTCTTTATGTTATGTTTCAAAACTCCTTTCTTGGTAAAACTCATGTCAGTATTCCAGAAATTCATTCTTGTACTTGCTGGTAGCTGCGTTGAAGCTAAAACTGCTAGTATTTCCTATCCTTCAAGTGCTACTTTATTCAAGAACCATTTCATGTGATACACACTGATCTTTGGGTACCTACCCATGTTGTTTCTCGACATGGTTTTCGGTATTTTTCTCTTTTATTGATCATGCCACACGACAATATGCTTCCTCACACCGATCCAGACTCCCCCAGCTCCTCTCTTTCGCCAGTTGCATCAACGTCACCCAACACTAGTTCCTCTTCTCCCTAATTAGTGGACCGAGTTCTCCTTCCTCGACAACATCTGCTTCCCCTGCTCCGCTGGTCACTTATCCCACTCCTCTACCTCAGCGTTCTGATCGGACCACCAAAGGCATTCCTCCCGCTCATTTTGACGATTATATGGCTTTTGGAGTTACCTCTCTTGTTGTTCCCACATGCTATAAAGACGCTCAGGGTGATCCAATCTGGGATGAGGCGGTGGGGAGTGTGTTTGATGCTCATCATGCGAA